CTCATGCTACTGCTGAACTTCCGTCCAGCAGCGACAGCTACGTGGAGGTCAAGAAGGCACATCGTCGCATCGCTTGCGGCAAATGCCAAGCTACAAGCACCCGTATTCGACACGGTGGTGCGGATGATCAATATCAAGGGCAGTTACGTGGGTAACCGGCTGGACGCGAAGGAGGCGGTTGACTTCTTCTGCAGAGGCTTGATCCAGGTGCCATATTAAGACAGTGCATTGCAGGAGCTGGGGAATGTTTTTTCGCTGATGGGTAAGTTTTTTTTTTTTTTTTTTTCCCTTTTCATTTCTATATCGTTCCGGTCCCGGGATCTTCAGAATAATAAAATTAGATACCTGTTAAAAATTAAAACACGAAATAACCACCATTAAAATAATTGCTAACATGTCTCTTCTCGATAAACAGATCAGGGGAAGGTCGCAGGCCGCTACGTCCTCAAGATGCCAGAGTAGACGGAGCAATCCTCGACGGAGTCATCATGACTTTTATGGAAATGTATGAAACCTTTGGGTTTGTGGAAATACAAACCGGAGGGCTGGTGGCACAAAGGCCTCCTCTCTGATATTTTCAAATGTCTGATAGTTGCGTGCACGATTTAAATATTTATAATTTGTTCTTAAGAGAAGTAGGGTTGGGAATCAGAAAAATAAGAAACATAGAAAAAAAAAAAAAAAATGGGGAGTCGGTTCGAACGCGGCAACGGAGCAAAGGATGACAGAAAAAGCATTGGGGGGCGGTCGATGGCTGACAAAGCTGTGATCCCTCAGCTCAAATCAAATATAAAGGAAGCGCCAATTCTCCTCCTCCTACAGCGTATGAGTTTCAGATGAGATCGAGTTACTTTGAAATAGCAGCACTGAAGAACTGAAATAGCACTGAAGAACTGAGGCTGAAATTACTTCGCTTCCAAATCAAATTCTCTGACACTATGCAGATAACAGGAAAAGCAGAGGACGGGGTGGGATATGCAATTTGTTGCCACGCTGCCATGTACTTGTTCTGTGTTCTTCATCAAACCCATGACCAGCAGCTGCCTGGCGCTGGTAGAAAGGAAGTAAAAATGACCAGTCTAAAACACATAGGGACAAAGAAGAAGAGAAGAAGAAAAAGGATATACAGGTATGTGTAGTTGAGTTCATACGTAAGAGAAGAGGGTGGGGAAGCCTTAGGCATAGAGGTGAGGTGCAAAGGCCGATATGGCTGCACGCTTCCATCCATCCATCCATCCATCCACCAGGGCATCGATGGCCTTAGGCTTCCAGGCGAATGAGAAAATCCGGAGCTTGTTGGACAAACCAAATAACATTGAAAGGGGCAAAGATAAAAGTTAATACAAGAACAGTTACTTACAACCACCAAACTGCGCAAACAAATAAACAGAAAATCTCACAGAGAAAGGGCACAAAAGGGGGGATATACATAACATGATATGTCGGTGTACCGTAGATAGTTGCACAGTACCAAGGCAAGCAAACTCAAGGGAAATTACATAATAAAATCTATACCGCTCCAGGACCCTTGTGATGATTATGATGGCCCGGCCCCTGATCCAGCAACAACTTCGGCTTAATATAATCCTCATCCAGCTGCTTAAACCATGCCGCATGATCCCCATTTCCAGCACCGGACAACAGATCTCGAATCACAGCCGTTGCACCCAGTTTTGAAGATGAAGAACCCGTACCCTGTGACGCCTCAGCCACGACGCCCGACGACGCAATTCCATCTCTTCCAGAAGACCCTCCAGTGGTACCGGGAGTAGCACTTACAGGGGAAAGACGTTGTTGCGCAGACGTGGGGGCCTGCGTTGCTGCTGGATACAAGCCAGCCGATTGTGCCCTGAGATGTGACGGGGCAGCGGGCGGGAGATCATCGTCCGAGAACGTATCAAGATCCAGATCGAAGTCGTCGATATCCGCGTCGTTATCATGCGTGCCGCCGGTGCGGGTGCGCGTTGTAGGCCGCTGGGCGGAGGAGGGATTTCTGCTCAAAGATGCTGATCCGCCTGTATCTCCATCGTCAGCACTGCTACCACTGACACTTCCGCCGTTACTAGTGTTGTGTTTTCCAAGCAGGTTTTGTGCAGATGCAAGATCATGGGACCGATCCTTACGCCCTTGGTTATATCCTGAGTTTTTCCTAGCGGCAACGGATGATGTGTGGGACGACTGCGGGGTGCCAGGGGTACCGCGACCGTTGTTTCCGCTCGAGAAGCCCTCTGCCATGTTCTCGCGATCTAGGTTGATGGTGTCGAGCGGTACGGGGTAGGCGCGTCGCGGCATATGTCCCAATCCAGTTCCGCCACGTTTATAGTATGTTCCTCCATTGGTGATTTCGATGTCAAATTCGTCATCAGAATCGATCTCTTCGATGACACCAGTGCGGATCTCCAGGATCTCAAGCATGCGTGCTGTCGTCCCACCGAATATGATGACTGTCAGGACGACGACAACGAGAACTGTTGCCCGCAGCGCTGGTGCGTTGGTGCCTTCAAGGCCGGCCGCAAGTGCAACACCAACTGCTCCACGAAGACCTGCCCAAAAGAGCATACCCTGATAGGCAAAGGGGAGCTCATCGGCAACCTCCTTCCCACGACGCTTGGCTCTATATCTAATAAACCAGTTGATGGCCTTTGAAAGGGGGAAAACAGACATGTATCTTGCAACACAAATCCCAACAACTGCTATCATTATGAATAGCGGTTTGAACTGCAAATTTGGCTCTGTGAACAAGTCCAGGCCAAGATAGATAAATATGAAATTCTCTGAAAGTTGTGCCAGCACCTGAAAGATATATTTCGTCGTAAGCTGTGTCCGTCGCGACATGTTGTAATATGCGTAGTGTTTCAATGTGATACCGCAGAACAGCAGCGACACAATTCCTGTTGCATTGTTTGCAATCAGCAAAAACTTATGTTTTTAAGGGTGAGAAATAAAAGCTTACCGGACAAATGAACTCCATTCGAAAAAAAGTAACTAGCATATGCAATCAAGACGATAAGGCAGCTCTCAATCTTTGGTTCCCGCCGCACATGGGTGTACTTCAAGCCCAGCGCAGTAAATATGCCCACAGCTACCCCAATCACCAGGCTTCCGAAAAACACAAGCAAGAATACACCAACAGCCTCGAACAAGCTTAGCAGCGTTAGCGATCCAGCTGCGCTCCCTGGCTTATATCTCTGGGCCGTTTCGAAAAGGACAATAGCGATAGCATCGTTTAAGATCGACTCCCCAAAGATCACTGTGTAAAGCTTCGGTTCGACCTTGTACACGTTGAAGATGGCAAGGATGGTGACGGGGTCTGTTGCAGAAAGGGTAGCTCCGACCGCAAATGCCTCGACAAGCGATATCGATAAGCCTTCTAGGGGAATCAAACACCACAGGTATAAAATAAGGCCCAGAACCAGTGCTGAAATAAAAGTACCCGCAAAAGCGAAGGTGAGAATCGTTCCTATATTTCTGAAGAAATTGGCCTGTTCTCTATAATTAACAGATGGTTCCAAAACTCCATTTCATTATACACATGCCTGCCAACCATACCTGGTGTAATTCATACCCCGAAGCCAAAATAATAGGCGGAAGAAGCAGGTTGAAGAAAAACTGATAATTGAAAGTCACAGAAGATTGTATTAGACTCCCCGGAGTCAATCGAATAATCAAACCAACGGTCATTCCTGCATTGCAGAAGCAACAGTCAGTCAGCTTACTAGTGATTCAAGAACAAGACCACTGTCATCGGACAGAAAGGCAGAGATCCGAACTCACCCGCAAAAATCGATATAACGGTCTCATGCACCGCTTGAACTTTTTTCTGCTTCAATGTGTAACTTGTAAAGAGCGCCGTGATCAAGAGCATAATCAAGATGAAAAGGGCCCATGATGTAAACAGCTCTTTCTCACCGGCTTCAGGGCTTTCTGTATCATCGAAGAAACAACCAGGTTAGAAAACCTGCTAGTCAACCTCTCCAAAGCCAACTTGCTCCATCCCCCCAACCACTCTGCGCGAGTGCACATGAAACTGGCGGAAAGGTGGACAGCAATAGATAACAGCAACATCAAGAAAGAGGGGCAGCGGGGCCCACTGGGAGAAAGGGTATAGAAACAGATATGACGAACCATCGGGATCAACATCATCCTCGACCCTCTTGCCTGTAAACACACACGAGTTAGAGAGAACAAATCTAAGTAGTGAGCTAACCAGCCTCCTCCCCCCCACCAAAAAAGAAAAAAAAAAGAGAGAGAGAAACACACATAAAACAGCACCCAAAACCTCTTCTACAAACTCCGCCATCATGGTAACAGGTGACAATGATCTCAACAGCAGCCCAATTGTATTGTATTGTATCGTATCCTATCCTATCCTATGCGAATCCCGTTCCGCACTTCCTTCTTCCTCCACCTATACCCTTATACCCTCTCAGCTTCCGCAGCTATCGCTACTCCGGCTAGCAGTCGACTCGGATAGGACGTAATGGTGATGAAGACGAGCTCTGGGCGCAAGTCGGTCCTGGGGTGTAGCAGACAGCATTCATAATAAATTAATAGGAAAGGTCAACTGTGACGGTGACGATGCGCAGCAGGAGAGGTAGTGGTAGTTGTAACAGTAACAGTAATGGTAACAACTGCTGCAGGAGTAGTTAGTTGGCCGGGTAGAGTTAAGAGAAAGAGAGAGAGGCATTCAACCTTGTGACAGCGAATGACGGCGATGACGATGACGGTGGTTGGTTGGTTGTGGTGGGTTGAGTCGCTCGTCTTATATCTGCCCTTGTCAGTTAACAAGGTTGGGCGCCGTTGGAAAGAGGTTCGCCCTTGTCCTATGGCTGTATGCGCATCCCTATCTCTGGAGGGAGAGACAGCTCGGAAGTAAACAAATGAACTGCTGGGGCTGTGGATGCTTGCGATGATGAAGTGAACAGAATTATGGAGCTGTAATTAAGTTGTGGTGGAGTGGACGAGATGGCGATGGTAGATGGCGATGGTAGATGGCGCCTTTCCCCATTCAGCGGAGGGTTGGTGCTGCCTTAAAGGGCGAATATCCACCCCCAAAGTTTCAAGTTCGAAACGGCGTTGATTGTCGATAGATAAGCAGCTCATGGGCTGGAGCAGGTGGAGGACGGGGGAGGGGAAGGGATATGAGGAGTCTCAGGAGAGGATATGGAGTTTTAGAGGGCGGATCTACGCCTGATCTACAGTTCTTCTGGCTTCTTCATTTATAACTAATGGTTTAGTTACTGTCCCCGGCGACTAAGTGTTGAAAACGCTGCTACTAATTATATCTGCAAGCATGAACAAGTAAAATACAACGTGTGAGAGCAGCTGAGCTAATTTAGAGAAGATTGAAATCAGCACAGTAAGTCGCTGTTAACAAAGTATGCTATAGGGTAATCCCCAGATAAAAAATGCCTGTCTAAAAGTTAGACAGTATGGCCACCCTGAAAATAAGCAATGGTGGGGGGGAAAAAATCACAGCAAAAATCACAACAAATACAAAGACACCTCCTCAAACCCCACCGAGAAGCAAACAAAGCAGCCAACCAATGCACAGCAGTTGCTCTCCCACCTGCCCCTCCCATTTTACACAACATCCCTCATTCTCCTCAACCTAGATCTTGACCCCGCCTTCCCATCACTCCCCTCCCCAAGCCCCCTAGCAACCCACGCGGCACCAATCGCCGCAAGACCGCCAAACCTCAAGACCCAGCCAACAGAATCATCCCAGGGCTCCCCGCGAGGCTTCTGCAGCGCATTGAAGATGACGCTGCTCACCAGCGTGGAGAGAATCTGCGGACATGATATGGCCACATTGTGGATTCCGAGGATGATTCCCGCTTGGTCGGAGGTGTCGTTTTCGTCATAGTCTCCTTCTTCATCTTCACTTCTGTCTTCATCTTGATCTTCTGCTGCTTCGTCAATATTGCTGCCGTCGTCTTCATTCTCACCTTCGGAGCTGGGTTTGACATGGTTACCGCGGAACGGTGCGGATGTTGAAGCAGATGAAGCTGGGATGCAACGAGAAGGAATGGAAGCACCCCCATCCTGTTGCACCTCCCTCTCCTCATGTCCATCACGACTATTTTCCTGATTAGAGGCAACGCCATCCTGTTCCCGCCCCCCAGCCGGGGCCGGAGGAAGCGATCCCCCAGCAGCCTCCAATCTAGCTTGATGCAGCCGATATCTCCGCCTCCGCTTCTTAGCATCACTATTCGCCACCTCCGCCGAAATGAGCGCAAAGGGCGCCCACAGCGTCAGCGCCCACGATACGCCAACAAGAGCCACAACGAACGTCCCACCCTGCGGAGTGCGGATGAAAAACGTGCTGAACATGCACGCGCTAAACATGATGTGAGACATGAGCCAGGCGCGGTGGAGGGTGAATCCTGGTATCTGCAGATGGGAGAATGGCGTTGGCGCCTCTGCCTCTGGGCTCGTAACAGCCGGTTCGACGGTTTCATTGGTCGGTGCTAGGAGGACGGCTACGGATGATGCGGTGATGGATACGGCTGATGTTGATTCTCTGCGGCTAAGGTATGGGTGTAGTGAGGTGTCGGGGGCTACGGCTTTTGGTGTTTGAGATGATTGTCGGTATGTTGGCACGACGAGGAGGGGTAGGATCATGCTGGCGACGAATGAGACTATCGCGTAGACAAGTAATGCGAAGGTACCCACACGAGTCGCTGCTTCCCACGCCTCATCGATCTCTTCGGGAGGTAAATGTGGGTGTTTCTCAAATATCGGATTAACATATAGCTGTCCGATATACGTCGTGCAGTAGAAGAGAAACGGGAACCACCCGATCCACGCAAAGAGCTGGACTTCGCATACCTTGCGTATCTGCGGGGGAAGGCTGCGGATGGATTTAAAGACTTGCTTAAAAAAAGCAACAACTCCCGGATTATCCGAGGATGGAGGCCCTTCGAGTTGGGGATCCCGCTCTGTAATGTATAGACAGCTGATCAACAGTGTGATGCCCAGTGACAGAGAAGCAATCATGCACAGGACTTGGAATTGTGTCTTTCCAAAAAATGGGAGTATTTTGGGAAGGTTGAGATAGCCCAATATATAGCCCACGATATTTCCAATGCCAGTGAGCCTGCTTGCCCATGCATTTGCTGATTCTTGTTGATGCGCAGGTGCATTATCAACTATAAAAGCTCGGATTGTCGCTTGAACTAAAACCATCCAACAAAGTAAATATAGGACTCAACACAGGAAGCCACATTTTGGCAGAAAAATGTTATAAAAAAAATATAGCAAGGCTCACCAGTATTAATAGCAAAGTCAAGGCAATACATCAAAATGGTCGCCAGGACGATAGATGTAACCTTAACGCCCGTGGAGCGGAAGGGAACACCAAAAATGCCCAAAACCCCGCCGACGATCTCGCGGGCCCATGCAAGTGCAAGAAGGGATATTATCGTGGCAATTCCGCCTCCGATCATAAATGGTTTCCTCTTCCCCCATGGTATCCGGCAGTTGTCGCTGCAGATGCCAACATAGGGCTGGACAAGCGTTCCAGTTAATGGCCCGGCAATCCACACAAAGGCAAGGAGGGATTTATCCATCCCGAGTGAAAGCAAGTAAGGCTATGTATGACATAAGTTAGTTGTGTTTTTAAAGAACGAAAAAGGAGGACGGGACAGAGAATGAATAATATCCCAAGGAACATACAGATCCATTTGACAGCTCAACAGACCAAACCATTTGTAGCCTGTACCGTACCGAATCACATTTGGAATAAGATTAGCAATTCAATTGAATTCCCAACCATATGAAACATATAACTTTTCGTTCATGGTCAAGAAACATTTCAACCGCAGATCAGGATACATACCCGCCAATACTCAACGTCAGCAGAAAGAGATACAAACTGCTCTTTCGCTCCCCATCCTTGCTGGACTCCTTCGCAAGCTCTTCCTCATCATTACCCCTGAGTGTTGTGGCTGGTCCCTGCGATGATTGTTCATCAGTGCCAAGCAGCGGGAAACGATCCTCCCTTCTGTCCGGCAATGACGAGTTCATATGAAGGGAGATCAAACACAGGGGCTCAGTCTTCCTTTTTTTTTTTTTTCTTTCTTTCTTTCGTGGGAATTTATCGCGGGTGGGGTATCATGTATATCTCCTGCACCTCTCTCCTAACACTAAACGCGTTTATCCGTGTGCTGTATATGAGCAAAGTACAAATGTAGTTCTGCAGCGACCCTCAATGCAAACCGAAATAAGTTTTCCTCCCACCACGTGTCGCTATCGCGTTCTATCTGAAACCCGGTATCGTAGCCGGGTATTCCGATGGATAGGTAACGTATGAACGAGAGGGAATAGAGAGAGGAGAACAGGACTTCAACAAAAAAAAAAACCCTCCGTGATAAGAAAGAATAGAAATGAAACCCGATTCCTCAATATATGATCAACAAAGCGCCCGGTATCGGGGTAGAAATAAGGAATATCGACATTCAACCAGCACAATAAACTACCCAGTCCAAATCGCCCTGTTCTTTCCACGAAACAAAATCGGAAAGCTATTATTCTATCTTCTTCGTTGAGAATGAGAGGATAAGTCAAGGATTAAAAACGCCAACCACTCAACGAGGATGTAATGCGTCAAAAACACTGTAATGAGCGTTCAGAGGAACAGAAATAGAATGGCTTAACTGGGCATATGCAGGGAACAGAAGCTGATGAATGACCAGGTTGTAAAACTGGCGTAATGCTATTGGAACAAATAATTTATCTCGTCATCGGAATCACATTTGCTTATGGCGTTTCACTTTCTGAGTAGAGGAGTAAATAACCTGTTGTGTGAGAGAGGCAGCTATGTATCCTTGTACGGTATTGAAGACGATGCGACCGGGCATCATATATAGGGCCCGGAACAAGGAAAACCCGGACTGCTGTGACCAAGGCTAAGCAGTGGGGAGGCGAATGAGCAGGTTGAAATCTGGGACAGTAGAGTCACATGACGTAGCTCCTGCCTTGACAAAATAAAGTTTCCAATAGGTAAATAAAGCTTATGATTCGTGTCCCATTAATTATACGGGGTTTGTTTATATATATCTCTTAGCAAAAAGGGTGATAAGTGGAAGGGTATTCAAAAATAAGAGATACGTAAAAGGGAAATTCAAGAACGGAAAACCCAAAACCCCTTCTCAAAAAAGAACCTATCAAGGAAACTTAAAATGGAATAGTTGTATATAGCGTTGCATAGCATAGCGTAAACATAGCATGATAGATAGATCGCAGCCCAAACCAAAAGAAAAAGAAAATTGTAAAAAAGGGGAAAATATGTGAAGAGAACCAGCAAGGGAAAAGAATGCCAGTCCAAAAAGATAAAGGATAACACGAGATTCAACATGAGGGAGTGTATTTGCATTTACTTTTTGCAATCAAGCAGGAAAAGAATAGAGAGAACAAAGATGTAAGAGCAGGAGAGAGAGACAGAAACAGATAAGTGATAAGAGAGGGAGAAAAAGAGATCTTGTACACATACACAGAGAAAAGATATGCGCCCCCATAGGAAAGGGAGAGGATCCACTGGATGGCCAGATATGAAAATGACAATGGCAATGACAATGACAGGGGAGGATAGGTGAGGAAAGCGACGAGGACGGACAGACAAGACAAGACAGATTTGACAAAAATAAGATAACCAAAAAAAAGATAACCAGACCCACTAAATCCAAACAGAGGATAGATGTATAAATGGAGGGAAAAGGTAGAGAAAAAACCATAAATCTCAATCCCTTCAAAATCAAAACCCTCCACTGCCATATAACATATATATATCTACCAGACCACCCATCCGGTAATACCACCATCACTCGTTCCATGCCGCTGTCCCGGGTGAGTTTGCAAAGGAAACCAAATCACGAAACAAGAAAACCCAAAAAGAGGAAAAGGAACCTTCAGCAAATATCTAAATATGCTGCTGCAACAGCTGCGGCGTAATAACCTGCGGATTCACCATCGACGGCATCGGGATGCTCATGGACATAGAAGGCATGGACATGGGCATGGAGGTTACATTGGACAAGTTGACCATGTAGTTGCCGTTGCCGTTGCCGTTGCCATTGCCGTTCCCGCTCCCGCTCCCGTTGCTGGTGTTGGGGTTGCTGGTGTTATTATGGCTGTTCGGATTCTGGCTTTGGTTCTGACTATGGTTATTGTTATTGTTGCTGTTGCCATTTAGATCCACCGAGGACGGGGAGCTGAAATCATCCTGCTCCTGTTCGTTTTCATTTTCATTCTCGTGGTCCTCATCGGAGAAGTTGGCTAGGAGCGATGACTGGCCACCTCCCTGTTGCTGGCTTTCGTGGATGCGGCGGTGCCTGTGAATAGGGTTATGAGGGTTAGTCAGAAGGCTTTGATGGTGGCTTGTTTCTATGTCCGCACGTGTGTGTGTGTGTGGATGTTTTGACAAGACGAAGAGAAAAAAAAAGCTGTTGAAAAGGGGGTGAAAGAGGGAAGATAAAAACATACTGCGCAAGATTATCCGATCGCGAAAAGGCCCTATTGCAATACGGACACGGATACGGGCGTTCCTGTGTATGTGTTCTCACATGTCTATGTTAAACCACTCAGTTAGCAACTTCCTTTCAGCTTGGGCAGTTGGTGGCTGGTTATGGTTGGTTACAACGCTGATTGATACCAACCAACACCCAAATATAACCCACATCGAGTTATTTTACTATGCCAGAAAAAAGGGAGAGAAAAACCATACCTCTTCAAATGCTCCAACCGCTTAAACAACCTCCCACACGACGGAATAGGACACGAATGTGACTTCTGCGGATACGGACCCAGCTCCATCATCGTCGCGCTCCTCGCCCGGCGCACAGGACCAGGACGATCACACTGCCTTCCAACACCAACAGCGTTATCCCCCTCGTTCTGCCCCTGCGGGCCATGTTGACTGTGGCCGTCGCTATGGTGGTGAGCACCCATCACCCCGACCAACCCAGCCTCATCATCCTGCACATTCTCCTCAAGACTAGGCAATGGCGTACCCGTACGCGACAGCTCATGTAGTAAATCCTTCGTATTCACAGTAGATGAGGAAATGTAGCTATTCGTCAGACCAGGAGGTGAATGAGAGTTCGAGTCGTGACTAGAGGACGACTCCTCGGACTCCAGGACAGGCACGGGCGCGACGGAGCTGGACATTGAACGGCGCAGGTCGCTAGGTCGGGATACAGCGTGCGCATGCGTGTACGAATGTGCCTGACCATGCGAGTGGGATTGGGTCTGACCATTCCCCGTAACAGCCGTTGCGATCGCATTGCTGATAGCGGGCGGTATCGACGATCTACGTCTCCGCTGCTTATAAGTAGGAGAACCCTCAATGACACTATAGACATTCGCGGATGGGAACATTCTGGTCGCGGTTGAGAAGTGACCGCCCGCACCGGCACCAGGCCCAGCACCAGTCACAGTAAAGTTCGACGGGGGAAGTTGCATCATCATCGCCGATGTGAAGGAGGTAGAGTGGTTACTTCCCAAATCCGGGATGGCAGTGTACAACCCCGTGTCTTCGTTGGCGATGTACGCAGACTCCGCACCGAGACCGGGGCCCAGGTTGTGGAGCGGGTGTTGGGGTGGTGTAATTGGTTCGAAGGAGATGCCTCGTGCACCTGCTGCCCCTGGGTAATCGTCGTAGTGTGATGAGACGAAGGAGGGTGCTGGCGAGTACTCCATGAAAGTTGGCATGGAGGTGTGCCGAGTGTGAATGCGGGAGATGGGTAGGCCGTTACGGTCATAGGTAAATTGTAGTTCTTGTTCAGGTTTGATCATGGCGGCGTTATTGTTCATGATCTGGGTGTTGGACATGGAGACGGAATTATGGTACATGCCCTGCTGGTTGTTGCTGCCGTTGTCCTCCGGCCCAACGGACATGGCTGGTTGCGGGATCTGGGGTGGTGGCATGGAATCAGTAGCTCGACCACCACCCATGGGCGACGTAGAGTGCGTCGCGTAAGCCGCCGCTGTGTTAGCATGAGCAGAGAAAGATGAAGAATTCGCCTGTTGCGCCTTCGTAAGTTGCTCAAAGAGACTCTGCGACGAGTCAAATTCAAACGACAAGGCTGGCTCATTAACAGCGACAGTGGTTGCCTCCTGACCCATCTTTTCCCGTTTCAAATCCCGTTCCAGGGCATCGAGGAAGAGTCTGTCATGGGGCACGCTGTACCAGTAGAAGACCTTTTGTTTCTTCTGTGTTCTGATGCAGTTGTTCTTGTATAAAAAGTCTAGAAAAGCGCTTTTGGGTTCTTCGAGGGAGGCATCAGTGCCAGATTTGAGATTGCGAAGATCAGAGAAGATTCCCTCCTCGAACTTTTTTGTGTTTTTCACTGGTCGGCCAAAGGCTTGGAATCGGAAAGATAAGCAGCGGACGATATCCGTTCCGGAAATGTGAAAGAGGTTATTCCTACGGTGTCATTAGACGTGGTCTTCTGCATCACTCCACTCTACAACCAGTCCTTGAACATACCATAAAACACAGGAAACATAGTCGCCTGTGGGCAGCAAAAATCGTCTGATGAGTTGATCTGGACTCCAGTCAACTGGTGCAGATATAAGAAAGTATTTTACTGTTTGTCGTCAGGCGTCAGCAAAAGACGTGTTACCTTTTTGGTGGGAATGGACTCGGGCGGCGGAATTGAACTCACAATTATCAACTTGTTGCAGGGCAACCTGTGCATCCTGTGGGAGGCTTTGCTGTGCCTCATTGGAGAGCATGAAGGTTTCTGGTTTCTGCGGTGGTGCCATGGAAGCACCATGCTGAGAATACATCGTGATAAGGCCGGGGGCTCTTGAGCTATTTCTCTCTGCGACGAAGGGGTTAGTCACGCCAGGTGTTTTCTCGAAGACGACAACACTAAACAGATAGGCCTCTTTCTCCATACACCTAGATATACGTATGCATGTATGTATGAGAGAAGAAGGGCAGTTCACAATAGCGGAGGGAAAAACCAACCGTGTTGGAAGTCGCCAAAGAAAATCCAGCAAAACAAGAACGACGTTGCAATCGGCACCAGCCACGCGAAGTGAAGAAACAGAAAATGAACAAAATAGTAATAATTTTAATAAAAATAAGAAAACGAAGCGGGAAGGGGAAACGATCGTGAAGATGTCTGAAAAGATGGCGGATGGAAGTTCGAGGGACCAGCCTCAATGGGATCTCGAAGCCTGGTGATGCGAATCCTGTCGAGAACGGAGAAGCGAGAAGCAAGGAAGCAGCTGATGTGGAGGCATATATTGATTGGTGTTAAGGGGGCCCTGCCCGATTAATGAAATGTTGTATTTGGTCTCTGTTGAATATATTTCTCTTTTCCGGATAGAAGCTCGACGTGACCGGCTTGTGAGTGAATGGGCGGGGGGGGAGTGTGTATATGTGTGTGCGGATGTGTGGGGTGTGCGTGTGTATGTGTGTGTGTGTGTGTGTGTGAGAGAAAGAGGGTGTGTGTTCTTGTGTGTGGGTGTGTGGGTGTGTATATATGTGCAAGTGTATATATATGCGTGGAACTGAAAAAACGACGACAAAAATAATCCTGTTACGGAGAAAAAGAAAATAGAGGAAATATTAGCTAATGGGAAGGGCGAAAAAGGTGGAGGAAAGTAGAGAGATGGCGAGAGAAGGGATGGAAAGGAGGAGGAAGAACGACGATGTGGTTGGGAGAAAACCGCGACCGGGGACGGGAGAGAGGGAAAAATGGAGAGGAAGAGAGGAAGAGCGGAGGCAGCGTGAGAACAGGAAACATGGACAGAGAGAGACACACCAGACACACAGCGAGAGTGAGCGTGAGAGACGGGGGTTGGGGGTTTGGGGGGGTTGGGGGTTGGACAAGAGAGATTGAACCTGCGGGACTGGGTGGGCGTTGGGCCAGCGAATAAGGCTGGGAGGACCGGGTATCGAAGTAGAAGAGCGCAAGCGGGATGGAAGTTCTAGAGAGAAGGGGAGCAGCAAGGAAGAGCAGATTTGAACGCTGAAAGAAACTTCGAGAGAGGCTTCAACGGGCTTCTACCGGTCTCAAAGAGGGCTCCACAGGGTGGGAGTGGATTGGGTGGTGAGAGGATTATTATTAGCATCAGCCTTGCCTGGTATTTGGCGTTAACCGGCTCCACTCTAGTCCGGTGGGTTCAGAGGAGCCAGTCGGAGTGGGCGGGCCCAGAAAACTTGGACGCTGCATTATTATTTGCAGAGGAGAGCAGCAGACAAGAAGGAGGAGAGAGAGAGAGAGAGAGAGAGAGAGAGAGAGAGAAAGATCGATAAATTAGAACGGTGTGGTATTGTATGGCATGGCTGCATGAACTACTATTCTGGTGCACTACTCCAGCCGGCGGCGCTACAACACCTCCCAAGACTCTTAGCCAGGGGTTCGGGATAGTTTCTTTCTGTCTGTTGCTCTCTGGTGTCTTTCTCTTTTCAACACCTATCTTGCTGCTGCTGCTGCAACAACTGTGGCAGTGGAGAATGCCGCAGAAATCAAGAATAATAGAAAACTACGGTAACCGCGCACCTCCCAAACTCCGGTCGACGGTTCCGGTTCCTGGAGTTTACCATCATGTTGTGAACCTTGGTAAAAAAATTGCTATGGCGCTGGTTGATGACAACTAATGCCTAGGCCATGTTGGCCACCAAAAAATCAAATGTGTCCAATTATTCCTCTCAGCCGCGATAATGCCTTGAATCTGCAACTGAAGAATCATGAAATTCTATAAAGACAGAGAGAGGAGGGGGAAGAGGGGGAGGAGGAGGAGGAGGGGAAGGGGAGGTTGGGAAAGCTTGTTGAAGTTGCAATTGCTACTCTTGAAAAGCAAGAAAATCTTTTCAATTCATGCAACTGTATGAATGAATTTTAAATCTGAAGAGAAAAGAGCTATTTCTGCTGTTAGCATTTATTGAGAATATGGCTAATCTTCTTTATAGTAGTTAGTTAATCATTTAGTTTTTACTTTTCTTTGAAATAATAAAAACTACGTTTTAAAATTAATAATATATTATATAAAGCTTAAATACTATTATTTTTAAATAATAATAATTAAATATTAAATAAGAGTTTTAAAAATAATTATTTAAATAGAAAATTTATTTTAAAAGCATTTATTTATTGAAAATAAATATAAAAATTAAAAATTATTAAAAATTATTATTAATATCAAATAATAGATTTTTATTTTATAAAATTTAATAAATATTAATAATAATAAAATATTAAAAATTAAAAGAAAGAATAATAACTTTATAAAATAGTTAAAAATTAAATAAATACGATATATTTATAATATTATTAAATTTTATTTTATATATCAATACTATTGTGATTTAAATATTTAAAATAAATTTATAATTATTAATATACCTTTATGTAGTTAAATAATTAAATTATTTAATAAATTATACTTTTAATCTTTAAAATTTTAATAATTTATCATAATATAGTAGTTATAACAAAGGAAAAAATTAAAAATTTAAAAAATTTTATTGTTTTATTTACAAAGTTCATTAAATAATTTATTTTTTTAATTTTTTTTTTTAAAAAAATTTACAGTTTCAGGGCTTTATCAAGTGCAGAGATTGTTGTTATAGATGGCACAAAAGGAAGCTGTTCGAACCATATTGTAATTTAGTTGATTGTTAGGTGTAGATTGCTATATTGGATTAAAACCTAATTAGTTATGTTTCGGATTTGGTGGCCAAACTCGCTTGAATGTCCAATTATGAGCAAACCATTGGGAAGCCCATCCGATTTCCCGTGTTCTTGAAGACATCGCAGACAGCGAGCACATATTCTATCATAAATGGATATATGGATATAAAATTGAAATTTATGCCAGTCCAAGGTCTGCCTTTGTTCACTACTCACATACCCACCATGACAGCGTTATAGAATGGTGAATCTAACAAAAAGAGAAGAGGGGGGGAAGGGAATAAAAATAAAAATAAAAATGATGATTCTGATATTCTCCTCGTTTGTGGCAAACTGAAGATGTTTTCATGCCGACAATGCGACTGCACAACACCATACAGACAGACAGACCTTACGTCCAACATCTTCACTGACATTTGACATCGTATCAGCTACAGCACTGTCCCTGCAGAAGGAAGGCAGATGCCGTCTATGCGCCTCCTCTCCCGTCTCTGGCTAATTCTCTACTAAACTCATCGCCACCTCTTGATTTGCAACTGCGGCTCCATCTATACCCGACCTCGACGTCCGTCTGGTCGCCTATCCTTGACCTTAGTATGGCGTTTCATCCATTCAAAACTCGCAGTGAGAGTGGGGAGAGAGGAGGGAATAAGTAAGATTAGCCGTGACTTCCTACACCATAATACGGCTTCTACTAATACCTCTCAACCCTACTTAGCTTTCCTGCATTTAGCAACTGCCCAGTTCCATGATGATATGATGAAGACATGATGATGAAGATGGCGGCGGCGGCGGCGGCGGTGGTGGTGGTGATAGTGATAGTGATGACTTTGGGACATACATCAGGGGGAGTCTGGGGAAGTTGCCGATGGCTTCTTCCAAGTTACCACTCTCCAGCCATTATTCATTTCCATACATCTTCCATTATCACCATTCCAAATTTCTCTATCGCTTCAAAGAAAGCAAAAGAATGAAACGAGCGCCTTGTTTACTGAAACTTACTTCAACCCTTCCAAGCTCCCAGTCTGCTTGCTTCCACGCTGCTCAACCCACCTTAACCACTTCTACAGACATCCTCAAGATAAGGATCTTCCTTGCGGAAAGTTACGAAAAACGATCAATCTTATCGCCCAGTGTGCCCCCGTAGTAGTAAAAGATCCATGACGTATTACTATCGGATATCCTGGTAACAATAAGCACGATGAAGAGATAGTGTGTTGGAGGCGCTGGGTGATAAGAACTTAAGCAGCCAAGTTGGAAGCTTATCAAGGGGCGATTATGAAAGAAGAAATGAATAGAGAGCAAAAAAGAAAATTAGCCGGAGGTTGAACAGGGCATTCGATGGAATACATACTTTGGAATTAAGAAATGGGTTGTTGACAATCAAGATGCAGTTTCTATTTCTCACCCAACACCGGGGCAAGTTTTCTATACGCATCCACACATTGCCCTCCTCCAAGCACAGTCAATGCGATCCTTAAGGTTTTCATAAAAAGCTTTTTTCTAACAACAAAAAAAAAAGAAAAAGAAAAAGAAAAAGAAAAAGAAAATATGAAATCAAGGAAAAGAGAGATAGAGTCTAACTATGGAGAAGAAAAAGAAATCTAAAGTATCTTTCTAAAAATCTTATATATTATCTATCCCTGTTTCTTTGAAAGTCCAACAACCTAATCTCAACAACATCCAACATCCATGGATACTTCCCGTATCTACATGTCCACTTCAAAATCTGACTACAGCCTTAGGATGCCCATTTCATCCATACAACGCAAAGGACGAAGACCAATCCCTCTGAACCTGACACATTCCACGCACAGAACGGACACAGCCCAATATGGATACCTAAGCTACCCCGGAAAACCACTCACCATTGGACTCGGCTAGATAACGAAGCAATCTTGGAACAAGCGCCAATGGCTGGACTGCAACCAAGCACAACAATCAACCTGACAGAACGGCAGGCTACTCAAGAAGGAAAAAGGGAAAAAGGAAAAACAAAAACTTGCACATCAAAATAAAATCGCCAGTTGCAACCCCAACCACCCAATCAATTCACCAATTAACGCAAGCAATACTTTGTATCCAGCCAGTCGCCGGTTTTGGCGAATGTTTGTCAGCCAGTTAGCAACGGTTCCTTTTATAGAAAGAAAATCTTATTTGCTGTCTGTCTTCCTTGTTTGCTCGTCTACATCCCTTTCTCCCAAGTCAAACCTCGCACAATCCGAGATAAAAGGGGTTGGGGGGGGGGTTGGGGGGGGTGGTGAATAAAATCTATTACGAAATAGACATGGGATAGTTAAAGAAAGGGGGAGGGGTAAAAAATAATGGCAGCTCCCTCCAGACCCCCCAATTCCCATCTCACCGCACTTTCAAAACCATTCTCAAACTGGCGCCAGGGCGGGGCCAAGCGGTTCCACCCACAATCCACCACGAAAGAGCAAAAAGTAACTAAAAGAATCCGTCGAGGAACGTCATCCGTTAACACATCGTCTAAACTTTTCTCAACCACTAAATACTTTTTACAAATCCGGTCTTAATCCCCATTCCAACTTCCGCGGTTGGCCCCTCGCGAAGCCGCGATCTAGCCATGGAGTAGTCAGTTGTTAGAGTAGCTATCAGCAAACCTGTGGGCTTTCTTGAGTGGAGGGGAAAACAACTCATCCCCGTCAAAAAGTTTGTAACATTCCTCAAAGAAAAAAGAAAAAAGAAAAAAAAAAAGAAAAAAAAGAAAAAGAAAAAAGAAAAAAGGTTCTCCGTGTGCACCGGACATACGAATGGTGTGTGTTGCCTGGGTATTGGATAAAGCCCCCCTACCGATGCGGCGCGCTGTTTCAGAATCCTGAGGCTTAGAGGCGCTAGTTTCGGAAAAATGGAGCCTGGGGTACGTTTTGACTTCGGCCTCAGTTGGAACTTGGCGGCAGTCTCAGGTTTTCAGGGCTAGTGGGGAGTCGAGCATGACTAGATGAGGGGTTCAGAGATGGATAAGAGATGGCCCGATGGGCCCGCTGCCAGGGTGCATTGATGGCGTGTTTTTTTTTTGGCTGAGGTATTATGCAAAAAGGCTTGCGGAGAGGTGACATGGTGCCTTGTTGGCTTGCTTGGGGGCTTGATCTGGGACGGAGTTGGATCACGGATGGTATCATTCTGGTGGAAGTTACTGACTACATGTTGACCGGCTCGGAAGATGGTTTGATGATGAGTGAGTGGTTGTGGTCGGCTTTTCATCTTGAATTTTGTCTCATCGCCAGATTGCGAGTGGCTGGAAGGCTTTGATTTATCATTTCCGAAAGAATAGGTCGGAAAAAGACTCACAATGGTCAAACTAACCATATCTATGGCAGCTGCTTTCTTGGGTGCGTCTTTCTTGAACGCTTTTCACCTCCATGTCTGACGCAAATGCCCTGCGTTACTGCTAAGACGTACCATAATAGCACAGTACCTTTTCCGCAGTCACAACTCCGGTCCTTATGATATATTCTCATAGCCAATGCCAGTCTTGGATCGGTGCCGGGGCAAATGGGCCCAAATCTCCATCCATGAGGCCCATTTTGAACCCACCCCCCCCCCCCCCCCCAAACAATGGGGCTGGAACTGAGCAATCCGGCTACGTTACGAATGTGCCCGATCAACGATTCATGATGTTAACGGCTTAGAAAGCTCAGTGGAACCATGCCGGGAAGAAACTAATGTGGGGCGAAGAGACCATACTCTATTGCATACTTTGTATGCGTTCTGGCATTTAGCATCAACTGGGCGAGGAAAACTTGCTGCAGAATGACACTGATAAACCTTTCTGTCCGGTGGAGCTGCCCAGGTTGAACCATCTTGCCCGACTGCGACTCTGCGCTGGACTGCTAAGATCAGACCCACTGAGTATCGAGATCTACTAAAGCCTAACCAGGAGGACAGATCTTTTCTTTCTTTCCTTTTTCTTTGGGGGGTTGAGGAGAACGCGGAGGAAACCCTACTCCCTGAGTCAACCGTTTCAGCTGTGTCTCAAGTCCTTGACTGACAGCAGGATGCCAGAGCTGAGAAACTAGTTCACACTGCAGACAATGTCACACATTTCATTCTATCAAAAAATAATGATCAGTCGAATACTCTGCGGTGGTATGATGTATAAAACACTGTAGTAGTTGTATATTTCATACAATATTTTTCTGACATATTACTTGTGACATTCATTCTATATGAAGATCAGACGAGCTGGAGCAACCATCCTCTTAATAAAAGAGCAGATGAGACTGCAGAGAACTTCATTGTATATACATAGCTCTTTTATAGAAGAGGTTGTTGTATTGACTATTGCGTTCTTGTTTGCTGCTGCTTTAGCGCATCTCAGACGTAATAATAGACGATTTCAATTATCCTTGAGAACACACAGAGCGAGAGAATGGAAGTGGTAACTAACTAACATGCTTCACGTCTGCAAAGTTCATTGCTTGGCGCTGGGAAGGAATATCTAGCGATCCCTTGTGACAAATCCTGGGCATTGGAAGGCGTTGTTCGCTGGTTGCAAGGGTGTTCTATTCACATAGATCTACTTCTCCTGAAACAGGACAAGCTGACAGCTCCTGAAAATGAACGACGAGCAGCAGTATGCATCTGTCGGTTCGGGATCATCCCCTGCGACCTCAGTTCGCGGAAAATCCTCAGCTTTGAATCCACCCCTGCCGTGGCGACGAATGCTGCGCATTTGCACCTGAATGGTTCCTCTCTTATCCCGTTGCGCTCCGAGCGTCCCATTGCCTTCATCATTCTTCCTCCCCGAAGCGCCGCTGTAAACTGCAGGTACATCCTTGACAGTTCCCGGGGCTCGCCTCAGACAGTTGACAAAGCCATCATGCACGTCGCTGAGCATCTTGATGCACTTCCGCTCTTGACTCAGGTCCTAGCAGCATAGCCAGTGTTTTGTCATCCAATACTGGAAGGAGATATTTGCCCACTGGGATGATGAAAAAGCCAGCGTTCGCACCCAGTTGTCATGGCCTTCTAGTGTCAGGAGGCAAGTCCCGCGATTATCACGGAGTTTGATAGTCTGATCTCATGACTCAGTCACCATGAACTCTGCTGTGCTACTTACATAGGGAGGCTTCTTCAAGGGGTTACAAAGATACTGATCTAAGGCAGGTTGGAGTGAGTGCACAAGATCCATTGAAGTGGTCATGGCCAAACATTATCAACTTATCACCTGGAATGGATATATCTAGAGATATCTCATAACTAAGCAGTTATGTCTTCCCCAGTCAAGAGAAGGAATCTTCTATCAACGAAGGGTAAAACATCTCATACCCAGCATATCTGGCCTTGCAGTGCCTTCATGCAATGCTCAGTGGCGATATCCCATATCTTTAGAGCCTTATCTCTGCTTGCACTAATGAGGAAGTTTCCAGATAATGTCTCAGCAGCCTTGCAAAGGAAATAAATAGTACTGACGCTGTGATTATAGTCTAACAAAGTTTAAAATGTTTTTATATACTTATCTGCTAGATTTCGTAGTTTAATGATGAGATTAAAGCTGCAGGATATCAAAATGATATCATCTTTTAGGCTGTCATAGTCATCATTCAGTTCTTGCTCTTATATGGCGTTGGTTTTGTATTTCAGTTTCATCAAGCTCTCAGTCCTATGTTTAAATAATACAATTATCAGAGCTGAAGGCTATGAGAGAGAATAGTGAGTATAATATTATACTGTTTATGATATCTTAAATATTATCTCAAAGAATGTTAACAAGAAAATTAAAAAAAAAAAAAAAAATTCAAGAAAAAAAGTCTTGATTACACTGAGAAAAAGAGAGAGAGATCATTTTGTCAAAAGTCATTCTATAATGCTTGTATTACAGATTTTGGCATTTATTGTCTCTGACAAAATACTAATCAGATGTCTTTATTTAGACATTGCTATTTGTAGTAAACCGAATAAAGACTTTGCTATGCTTGATCTGTCTTTCTCTGTAACAAAACGACTGCTTATTCATACTTCTTCAACAACGTTTTGTATTTCTTTGACATTGCTGCATTGGAAATAGCTTCCTCAAGGTCCACCTCTATTCTGGACGCAGTGGTTTATTCATAGACAAGGCAAAAAAGCTATGGTTGACTTTGACTGGGAACCGGAGCATTAGCTTTGGTCTAGGCTCAACCACTGTCATCATTAAGGTGTGAACGCACATGCTTTGAACCTGTCAGTAAGGTAGTTATACAAACCCATGCGAGGGATTGGTGAACCGAAAATGCTAGAGCCCAGACTTGGAGGCCCCCTCTTTGCTTCAACCATTGTCATTTTGCTACGGGCTACCCGTCACCTGCAGGCAGAGCGAGAGAACTTGTGAATGGAAAATGTGGAGAGCGCAAGGGTCAATCAAGAGCGCGCAAATACGGAGCCCTTCAATCGGGCGGTGGCGCGGGATGGTTTTACTGTCCTGAAGGCCCGAGGAGGCGCAGCCAAACGGCATTAATGGGTCAGGACAGAAGGCGATGGAAATTCTCGATCAGCTTCTGGTCGTTTTGAGGTTTCACAACCCTGGATTTAACAAGTTCATTTTGGTCCGGACAGCGGCTACTGCATGAAATTTTCTCAAGATTTTTTTAGAGATTGTATGTGACTGGTTGGGCTTGTTTTGCAGAAATGGATATCAGGTTCTACCCCGTTGCTGGAAGCTATAAATATCTTCCGTGTATATTGTATGTTGAGTTTTGGAAGTAAGATTTCATAATGGGTCTTGTTTGATATATATCTATCCCCTTACAGGATTCTTCAAAATGAAACTATGGTGTAGATTAAATGGGCTTTTTTAATATCTTTTGGCCGCCCAGTTGATTCATGCAAGGAATGTTTTGGCGGCTCTTTGTAGTTTCCAAACTAGAAAATTGGAGTTCTCTTCGAATATCTTGTCAGATACTAGTTTTGATGAAGGGAAGAAATGCCCATCAAATGCTCACAAGAAGGTTTTTGACTGAGATGATTGCCATATGTAAACGTTGCTATTTTATTTCCCAGGCCACATTCCTGCAATAGAAATCGCTGGGCTTTCCATTGGCATATGAACACACAGGAAAAAGGGGTAAATGGACTAGATGAAAGGGACGGACAACATATGTACAGATCGCCAGGAAAATTAAACAGATATTCATGAGAAGGAACAGAGGACAAAAAGGAAGAGGAATAAAGTCTTGAGAAAGAAAGATATATTTTGGTGCATGAAAGAAGCTGAAAAGAGAGTAATATAATAACATATTATCAACAAATCGATACCTGGATAGCAAGATCAGTGACTCATGCATACCCCAATCCACCATCCAAAATATCCAAAGATATAGACAATGCCCAAACAGCCCCCTCTATACCAGAGGATATAATGCGCATGCACATTGCTAAAATAAAGGCCAACAACCCCTTCTCAACCATGGTTCGCGGGCATTTCATGTGCAGCCGTAAGTCTATCACGCGATAGATTCGCTTTCAGATACGGAGCAATGTCGCGCTCGTTTTGGGGAGCAACAGCAGGTGCATAGTACCCTTTCGCTGTAACTACAGCCCCAGCTCCGCTTGGCCCGTCACCCAGCTCGGATAGCATCTGCGAGCTGTCCAGTTCCGACCCCCGCCCAATCCCCATTGCGATTTTGCTCCTTTTCTGGTTGCGGCGGAAGAAGAAGAGGCCAAAGCCTACGATGGTGATACCCGCGACGCCGCCGATTGTACCGCCTGCTATTACGCCCGAGGAGGGTTTGTTTGATGACTGTGGATTTTCTTGTTCTTTTTGGGATGGCAGGGTTGGAGAAGAAGAAGATGCTGCTGTTGACAGAGGTGAACGCTGGGGTGGTGGAGTGATTGATGGCAATTCTTGAAGATGGCACATGTAAGTAGATGTGTTTTAATGTTTTGAGCTTGTTTACTCTGAGGAGATGTTGGTGCTGGGTAATGGGGATTCGGAGAGTTGATGTCTGATGAAGAAATTGAGACGGGACCGTGAGTATGAACTTACTCGTTGTCGTGGCCGTGACCTCCACCGGGAGAGTGCGGTAGACAGTATACGCTTTCCAATCCTGCCAACAGAAGATGTTTGTTGCAGACGGCGAGCCGAAGGGTGAGGTTTCGTATACGGTCATTGTTTGGCAGGAGGCGCCTCGTTGGCTATTTTCATTTGTCAGATATATTGATATGCTGCCTCATCCACACCTGGAGACAGGGGTTTCCTCCTCTATCTTTTCTCTTCCTCTTCTCCTTCTCATCTGGGCGGAAGGCGATGGTCATACCAGGTATACGTGCGACCGTATTGAAGTTGAACGGTTCCATCTAGACAGTTTGTAGCCATTGCACATGGTGTTGTTTGAGAAATTTTGCAACAGCCGGCATAGGTTCCCGATGTTATCCACGCGCTATCAGTGTTGCCGCATGTTATCGATTCGGCTATGGAGATGGACCAGAATGGTCCCAGTTAGTAAAAAAGAAAATGGGCATATCCAAGAACAGTTTGATGGCCGGATTTATTCAAAGTTGTACGAACTTGACGTTGATCCGTCTTTGTGAAATACATAGTATCCGTTGAACCACATCGGGGCATCTTCAGCGTTTGAAAAGTTTTTTTCCAGCAGAGCGAAAAGGCTCAACGCCAAAATTAGAGAGGGTCGCACCCCCATCATCCCCCTCATCATCATCATATTGACAGTCGGCTGAGAAAAAAAAATCGCTGCGCTGTTGTGTTGGCTCTAACGCAAATTCGATGACCGCGACGTTACATCAAGCTCCAGGCGGGAACAGACACAGTCGTTCAAATCGAGATTCTTCGAGGACAGACGCTTCCAATGAGACTGCAACGATGAGAAAGATCCAAGAAGAACACATCCCTTGGAGGGGAAAATTAACTTGGAAAAAGAAGAGAAGAATGAAAACAAATGATCGTCGACCCCAGAACGTTTCTTCTGATGGGAGAGAAGCCAACCCCAGTCGCCCCGTGGAACCCCCGCCTCAATGCCATTATGAAGATGACTTGATGCCGGAACATCAGCTCAAGCGCTATGCGTTGCGCATCGCTGTCAGCAGCAAATGAGAGGGCATGGTTCTTTTGCCAGGCCACTAGGAAAAGGGGCGGGAAACAAAAAAAGAAAACACGTAAAATAGCCTGGCTAAGAAAATGGTCATTGGATTTAATCTTCTTTAGCTCCAGAAATTTCACGTAGTATTAACTATCCACTGGCAGTAATGCCAAATGACAACGTTTTTTCCTTTCAGGCCAAGCAAACAAACAGCAAAGCGTGTGGGAAGGAAGTCTTGTTCGGGGTACACTTCCGCGATTGCAGCGGATTCTTCCCCTAGTTCACACGTCGCAGGTGAAGCATCCATGATGCATAGTGCAGCTCGCCCTATCACTATAAAAGAATAGTCGTAGTTGTGTTGCCAGGAACAAGGATGGCATGGTCTCAGCTGGGCGAATAGGGGGTAGTACCAGGTAGCCCACGTTCCACCCGCCGAGATATCCAAGCGTGAAGATCACTTCACTCTGGATTCCAGCGCAAAAGCCAAATTCATTCGTTTCTGACAAAATGCCATTGCAGCAGAACCGTAGATAACTGACAGATACGGGTCACGACTGTGTTTTCGTCAGACCCCAAAAAGAGAGGTAGTTTAGTATCCCATTATCTTCGGGGAAACCCCAGCGCAAAAGTTCGAAAATTTTAATTATTCCTCTGGCGTTTAAAATCTGAAAGGCAAAACTTAGCCCTACAAAGTTGAAGGACCCAGAGGTTCTGATCTTCGCTTGAGATGGGATACCCTATTGGGCAACTCGAAGCAAGCCCCCGGCATGAGTTTCTGGGGTATCCGAATCACGACCCAGGCTGCATTGCATGGCTGATGAGGAATGAGGAATCTTGCGAACGCTTGATGCTGTGCGGAGGAGTTGTTTGGAGATCTCCCCTCTGTCGCTGGAGGTAGCGTTTTTCTTGTTCCTGGGAGAAATGATCGAAGCTTGGCCTTTGCGAGGTTTTGATGGTAAGGATTCGGCTGCTCGGTGGTCTCTGGCGTGGGAAGAACCCACTTTTGTCAAAAAGGAAGAATCTCTTTGCCAATTTTGGTATATCAAACCACAGATTAACTAGCCAGCAAGGCGGAGCCTGAGGCTTCCGAGCACAAAGTGCGCTGCTGTCGGTGAAGTGCGGTGATCGGACAACTTTAAGCCACTATTCCATCCATATTTCACGTACTCTCCAATGGTGGGGGATGATCAATTTGCCATTTCAGAAGGGCAGACTCTTATTGCTTTCAAGATAAAACTTAAAATTGAACGAAGAGACAACACTTCACTAGGCGCCAGCGATCCACAAACCCGAAGCGGGAGGATGCGCATGCGGTAGAATGGAGCTACTCATGAAGGATAAACAATTTTATGGCAGGCCCTGAACGACTATCTCCAGAGCGTGGAGCAGCAGTGCAACCAATGAATATTCAATGGGGGGAGAGAAAGAAGATAACGTATGTACGGAGAAACTAATTGTACAAAAGACGCTTCAGATTCAAGCAAAAGGCTCTGCCCACTTCCGTCTTCGAATTTCGATGGAGGTAAAACTTGAATCTTCCCATCAACACCCAAAAACATTTCCCCTTGACCACCGTGCGAGAGATGCAGTAAAAAGATCCAGGATGTTAAGTTTCTGCAACAGCAATCGGCGGTTGTATCTCTTCACCCGGACCAGTGCAATGTTTTAGACCTTTCGATATAGGATCTGGAGAGAACTTGGGTGTTTGCTTCCCCTTGGAACTTGAAGAGTGACACTGTATGTATAGTAGTATAAATGCTTGTCTATGCAGGAGATCATTCTTCGCCATAAGAGATAAAGCAGGTAGTTACATTTTGACCACCACATCTCTATTCGATTGGAAACAGTGACGATTGTCTCTAGTTCAGATTTCCAAGAGAAATTACGGCCCACTCTGCGTTGCAATGGATCAAGAATCTTGAGGTTGTTAAGGCCGGGATTCTGTTGCTTCTGGTAATGAAGGAATTCAAGGCATGGTTCAAAGGAAAAAGGATCCGTCTCACCCTCCGGCTGGACCAGTTAAGGGCTCATGATAACAATTTCAAGGCATCGCACAAGGTGTGCGGCAATGTATGATTGGACGGGGGAATACCCTGTCCCTGACATATGAGCTCCCGCAGGTGGGTGTAGATTCTTTCGTGGGAGGGTTAGCTACTCTGCTATCTAAATCGGGACTCTCAACAGTGCCCTGCGCTTCGTATCACCAATCGAGTCTCAGGCTGCACCCTACCGCAACAGAGGACTCGGTGTGAAAGAAAGGACCGGAATCAAAGGGAATTATACCCAGCCAGAACTCCTCTCTTTCCGGGCTGATATAGAAGTTGGTTGAATGAACGTCTAAAACCTCCCCAAAAAAGAACACATACACACAGTCAAGACACACCATGCCTTTTTACCCTGGAATCTATTTAATCCATGCTCGTGACAATCAATACAAGGATCATATGGAAACATCCACACCCTCACATATGGACGTAGCTTCAACTGGTCCAGTTTTATTTTGGGGTCTTCTCATAGATCATCACTTAATTCTGAAACTCTAGCTTGGTTGTCAGGCTGTGCCTGAAACCTCATTCGCAAACCCGACATGAGAAAGAAGCTTTTGGAAAACTGGCACTTCGCAGCGGACTAAATCCGAAAAAGCATGTGGAAGACGTGATAGTATCAGTATCTCTATCTCTGTCGATCTAATCATTGCAAGGTTCCTGGAACGTCTCATGTTTGCGGTTGACATTTACCCGATGGTCTGGAATCCGGATATTGATTCTTATCAGGCATCATGAGTACCCTAAACCCAATTGCGCAAATCTGAAACAAGTGCTGAAGGTTAGAGTTACCTTTCGGTAAACCTTTTTTTCCCTTGTGTTCGTTGACCGCCATATAAACATGTGCATCTTGAGCCGGGGGTTGAGTGTGTCTGTCCACTTTACAGTGTGTAAAGACACAGCCAGCAGCCGACGTGTCCTTGTTCTCAGTTCCCTTTGCTGGGAATGGAACTTACCTGTGCATCCAGACTTTCGGGCGATGAATAACATCTGCCTGACGTAATATTTCACTTGCGTCCTCCACTGCCTCTCCCTCTCCTTCTGCCCCTATTCAAGCCCCCATCCCTCGGCCCTTGAATATCAGATATATCCTTCTTGCTAAGCCGTAGCGTCCCACCCGCAAACTTCCCAATAGCCGGGCCCCCAATACCCCTCTTACTCAGACTACCCCGACCGCTGCCACTCCTATTTTTCCCAGGCGTAGAGAAAGTAGGCTTCTCAAGAATAATCCCATTCTCCCTAGCTTCTCTCCGTCGCGCTCTTTCCTTTTTGCTAGCTTTCCCCATGATACCTTTGCGATGGGACATGGGCATTTTCGCTTGTGTGAATAAGGATGTTTTTGCTCCGGCAGATTGCATACGGAGATCGATGGCGCGGTGTCGTTTCGCACCGGTTGGGTTGAGGTCGTCTGCGCTTTCGAGGAGATGGGATTCCTTTAGTAGTCTCTGGAGGGCGAGGTCGTTTTTCAGGTTCTCTGCATCCATGGCAAGGTCATCCGTGGTGTCGCCTGATGCTGCTGTCAATTTGTTCTTGGATGATATCTTCGATATCCCGGAGGATGAGGGAGGTTTTGCTGTCTGTAGAGTTCATGATGGCTTTTTGTTAGATCATGCCTTTCTCCCTTCTTTTTCATTTTTATACCAAAAGCTTTATTTTTCATCCTCTAGAATTGAATAATAAAAAAGAAAAGAATAAAGAAGCGCATGATATTGAGTGAAACACACCATAAAAGCTTTCCAAGCCTGTTTGTCTACGCAGTCCTTCCTCGAGTTCCATGAAGTTGTGTCCTCAACTACTTCGGCAGGCTGTTCGACGGCGTTGGCTTCGTCCGAAAGGCCTTCCCACTCCTCCTCACCGTCATTTTCCTCTTCTGCGGACGAAAGATATGAAGACTCCTTTGGAGCAGTGGATATAGGTTTCACAAGCGCTTCCACTGGCCCAAATTCAGCCTCAAAAATCTTGCGTAGAATATCCTGTGCTTCATCGGCGGATGTCGGGTTTTCCTCGTCGCTATCCTCCTCGTTATGGGCTTGTCTCGTAACGACCGTAACATCCCGTTTTCGTTTGCCTAACATCATATGTAAAGGTAGCGAATATTCACCAATTCGAAGCGTTTCCGTATTGTGGATTGAGGTAAATACTTTGAAAACATGTTGTTGTATAGCATCATCAACTTCTCTCAAAGTATTTTTTTCTTTTTACAGAACTCACCGCTGCAAGGGTCAAAGATCACGTGATCACGGTGATAAACGAGCAACTGCAAAGAAACCCTCCCACCAAAAAGATTCTTATCACAGCGAATATGAGAGATCACTAGATGGAGAAGTGGGGGCAAATTTCCGCATTGAAATCTCAAGGAAGAAAATATGACTCGTTTCCGCCCATGCATTGATTTGCATGCGGGTCAAGTTAAACAAATTGTTGGCGGTACACTGACCTCCCAACCGGCCGAGTTGAAGACCAACTTCATATCCTCGCAGCCTGCTGCGCATTTTGCCAAACTCTACAAAGAACATAATTTGACTGGCGGACATGTTGTGATGCTTGGAGGGGGCAATGAAGAAGCTGCAAGGGAGTCTCTGGCAGCTTGGCCTGGAGGTCTGCAAGTTGCTGGAGGCATTACTGATAAGAATGCCCAGCATTGGATTGCAGCTGGCGCTGAGAAGGTCTGTCTGTTCTGTCTCGTATCTTGTGCATTGGTTCCCATGTGATGTTTGATAGTGGTTCATGTTATGTCATCTTTATTCCTTTGTCATTTTGATTTCCTCAAAACAACAGGGTGTGCGCAAGTGACTTATAAGTTGCAAATGAATAGTAGGTTATTATTACATCCTACCTTTTCCCAGAAGGGCGATTCTCCCTCGAGCGATTACAGACGATACTCTCCGTACTCGGAAATGACAAGTCTAAGTTGGTTCTGGACTTGAGTTGCCGCAAGAAGGGAGACTCGTGGTTTGTTGCCATGAACAGGTGGCAGACGATAACGGAAATGGAAATTACGCAAGGTATCTATCTATCTACCCTATTTGTTATATACAAGATACTCCAGTTGTGGTATTAACCGGGTCCATTTACAGAAACCATCGCAACGCTTGAACCATATTGTTCTGAGTTCCTTATACATGCAGCAGATGTTGAAGGGCTGCAGCAAGGAATCGATGAGGCGCTCGTATCGAAATTGGCGGAATGGTGCACCATACCAGTGACGTACGCTGGAGGTGGGAGGAATCTGGGGGATCTCGACCGCGTTAAGTCAAGCAGCGGAGGCAAAGTTGACTTGACGTTTGGAAGTGCGCTTGATATATTCGGGGGGTCTGGAGTGACATTTGCGGAGTGTGTAGAGTGGAATAGAATGAATGGAAGCTAGATGCTTGATATTGCTTTCTTAACGAGAAATGAAGAGAGTTCTGGAATCCGGTGTATAGGGATGTTTCTTGTCGAGCTAGCGGAGCTGGTATTAATTATACTATATTAATTAAAAGATAAAAGAGTCAAACTTCACATATAAATTCTCTATTAAATTGTTAAAAGCTGTTCTCTACAAAAGAAAAACCTTTACTTCAATGAATAATATTCATGAATAATAGAGAGAAGTCTTTTCAAATTAAAAATATATAAAATATGATAAATTTACTACTTTATAATTAAGTTAATACTACTATGAGTGAATAGATTTATGAAATATTATAAACATATAAAGACTACATTCTCATATAAATAAAACTAGAACTAAACTTTATATGAATATTTAAAATTATATTAAAGTGATTTTAAAAAGTGAAAAATATTATAAAAAGATATGATATTATAAATAAAAACATCTACAACTTTGATAAGACTAACTTTTAAATAAACATTATTAATACCTAGTTAAAATGATAACTAAATCTGAAAAATATAACAGATTAATACTTTTACAGTTAAGAAATTCAAAATGAGTGATTATTGAGTCAATCTCATGGCTCAGTCTAGAGTCAAGATGATAACAAGACAAAGTATCAATATATCTAATCAGGTAGCCTGCAACAGGAATACTAAACTGGGAATTAGAATGTGGAATGAATGAGCAGCTGAATATAAAGAGATTGAAGATCAGAGTAGATTAATTTTAATTCATATTACAAAAAGCTCAACTTAACTCAGTAAATACTATTTATAATAATTATAATAGACTAATGTAATCGATCATCTACTGAGACAGATCATCTATCAAGACAGATCTTCACTACATAATGTGTTTAACTACTTAATTGATCAAATGTCAAAATATCAACAATCAAAGATGATAATTCTTTATACAAGAAAGAAAGACTTACTCTAGCTATTGAAGCAGTTAAAAAGATAAAATTTCTAGTTCTAAAGCTGCTGTCAAATTGTACAACATCTCTCAATCTACTCTTTGTCATCAACTTCACAGCTGTATAATGTGAGAGAACTCTCAGTTAAGAAATTGAAAACTGATCTCTATTGAGAAATTATCTCTTGTTCAATGAATAATTTTCATGAATGAACATAGTCAGCTTCTCTGAGTAAGCACTGTATGAGAAATAGTCAATCTTCTTCTTGTCAATTGAGATAACTCTTCTAAATCAAAAACTCTTGATGAAAGCTAAATTAAATAATTCATTAACTATCATTCTGAGTTAAAAATCTAATTCTTCTGATTGTATAATTATCAACAAGCTCTATATGAAGATTCTAAAATTATTCAAGAATGATTTGATCTTATACAGAATATTATTCAGAAATATAATACTGTATAGAAGAATATATACAACTTTAATAAGACTGAGTTTTAAAGGAGAATTATTGAAATAGTCAAGATGATTACTGAGTCAGAGGAGACTCTCTGTTCAAAGTTTGTACAGTCTAAGAATACAGAATGAGTTATTATTATTGAAAGAGTCAATTTAACAGACTAATTATTATCTTCAATGATTATTCTCAAGAGAAGGTTACATTAAACTTCTTGATTTGAGAATGAGCTGTTATACAACTGAAGGATTGAAATCAATAAAAATAAATGAATAACTAATAAGCTGAGATTGATCTGGCTTAAAGAGATATTTAATAAATATACTCAAGTCTGTACAATTAGTCTGTGGCATTCCACCTCTATTCTTCCATCTTTATTTTTCCACCTCTTTCTATATTAGTATTCACTCTCTATTCACCCCTCTTTAATTCATTTGGAGGTCTCAATCTTTTTTATATTTCCTATTCTATGCAATTACTTCTATCATATAGAGTGATTATAGTGTGTATATATTGCAGGGCATCTGCTCATCTTATTAGAAGAGAATCAGACATGATTTATTCTATCTATTCAATTGCTTATATGTATCAAATTAGTAGCATATTCATGTTTCTCTAAAAGGTTCAAGATCTGCTGAATCAATCAAGGTTCAAGATACATATCAAATTAGTCTAAGATTCACTAAATCAGTCACTTTAAATTATAATCACTAGTCACTCTGATTCATAATTGCTAGTCTAATCACTCTAAAAAAAGTATTATCTGTGGTACCATTCTTTGAGTCAGATCTTGATTATCTTCAAATAACTACTTTAACCACCTTATAAAATATCAAAGATAAACATTCTCGTCATTTGAATGCTTTTATCATTCTGATAACTTCTGAATCCTTAACAAGATCAGAGAATGCTGAGTTAGCTGGCAAGAAGCAAGATGCTGATGAGGATATTCACTACAGCAGTTCTTATCAATATACACAGACATTTACAGAAAAGTATATAATAGTAATTGCAGAAGTGTGAAGAAATAAGAGCAGTTAATACACAAAATTACAATTGTTGATCATCTCATATAACTGTCTCAAGATGAAGAAGGTGCTATTCACTGCCTCTGCAAGATGATACAATGAGATGAGTGTAATAATGTAGGAAACCTCAGTAGCAGAATGAATGACTGCCTTTCATCAGTGAATTCAAATATTCAGAATAGAAGTTATCAAGCATATCAGAGATCAGAGATCTATCACTTCTATTTTTATAGATTTCAGTCACTCAGTTATGGAAGATGATCACTGCAATGAGAAAGTGATACTAAACATCATAGAGAAGCTCAAAGAGCTCAATATACAGTGAATAGAGCAAAAGAACAGACTGATAGACCTTGACATGCAGTTAAAAAAGTGAGAAAACTAAGTGACAGATTTGAAATCCTGGCTCTATACTTATAAATCTCTTCTCAATAAGCAGAAGAAGGATCTAATCACTTATAAGATCTGCTCAGAGTGCATCAGCATTACTCACTTATTCATCACAAGACTGAGCCTGAGAAGAGCCAGTCAAGAAGTGTTGAGAGCAATAAGCTGTCTATGAGAGTCAATTTTGCATATTAGAGTTAACCTAAAGTATGATAGAACTGCTAGCACAGAGCATTATACATATGATGTGGAAGACAATAGAATAAGACAAGATAATCAATCTACTGCTGAGAGATATAATCAATTCACACTTTTAATGACAAGCATCTGAAACAGAATCACTACTTCTTTATATGATCAGAAGCAGCTGACGAGGCTCTGAGTAGCAGATCTTATACTTTACAACTCAGACAAGATAGACATGATCACTTTTATATTGAGATTAGAGTTTATGATAACTTTGAAAGAGGAGACAGCAGTTCTCAGAATAATTTCTCTATGTCTTAAGAAGAGAGCTCTGGAGTAGCACAATGGACTATCATTTGAATGCTGGAATAAGATGGCAGTGTTACTTGCAGTAACAGTCAATAAGCTACAGAGCAAGTTTCAGCTTTCAAAAGAGAAAATCTGAAACTGAGTGCAGAAATTGCAATTCTTATTTGACAAACATTTTTTATGAGAGGGATTGAAGAGTGGTCTAGTGGTGATCACTTTTCTCATCTTGACAGAATGCTTAGATGATTTTCACAGATATATACATGATAATGAGCTGGCTGCTAGACACATCTGAGGAGATTGACAACAGCAACTTCTCAAATATGAGAGAGTGAGATATCAGACTGAGAATAAACCTCTTATATTCTGTCAGTATGACTGCACAAAGAATAAAAAAAAAAGAAAAGAGAGATGAAAAGAAAGAATTATAAACTTAATTATGATAACTGACAAAAGAAAATCTGAAATAGCACATTAATATGAATAGAGGAAAAGCACTCAAATCTCTTCTTTTAAACAGAGAGACTATGATATTTCATTTCTATTCTTCTATCTCTTTTTATATTAGTATTAACTCTCTATTCATCTCTCTTTAATTCACTCAGAGGTTTCAATCTTTTTTATATTTCCTATTCTATGCAATTGCTTCTATCATATAGAGTGATTATAGTATATATATATAGCAAAGCATTTGCTCATTTTATTAGAAGAGAATCAAACATGATTTATTCTACCTATTTGATTGCTTGTACGCATCATAGTCAATATCAACTCTTGATTATTGATGAACATGACAGTCATAATAATCCTGAGTTTAATCAATTTTGCACTCAAAACTTGATTATTTCTCTTTATATATTAGCTTATTTCTCTCATCTCTTATAGTCTTTAGATGTTGCTTGTTTTTCCTCATTGAAGTAAGCATATAGAAAAGAGATTGAGAAAAGAATGAGACTTAACATCAATTATATTGATAAGAATGAGTTTTAACTATCTATTCTTCAGTTTGCACAGCAGCTCTGAGTAAAAAAAATATTCAAAGTGAATTTAGAGCTACAGAACTAGCTCTGTACAATTCAGAGCAGATTCTTTCCCAGCTCAATACTCAGATACATATATCAACCCTCTCAGAGATGTCACATAGCTTCCAGGCCTCCTGGGCCACTGCCACATCTTATAATATATAACAATTGGAGCTTCAGAGTGAGAAGATTAAGAGATATCTCAAGCACTGTACACTGAGTTCACTCAGTTCAATCAATCAAGCTCTGGAACAGCTAGTCAAAGGATGTCAGATGACTATACATAGTGCTGTTATTTTGATAAGAGAAAATAAAAAGCTGAAGGCTGTAAATGCAAAGCAAAAGAGAAAGTGAGAAAGATGTCATACATATATAAGTCAGAGAGAGGGCTTGACTGTTCAAGAAGGGGTGAATCATGTACAAAGAGACATTGCAGAGGAAAGAGAGGTAATAGAGCAGTCTAATAAGCAATCACAAAAGTGAGCAGCACCATAGTGCAGTGGATGTGGTGTTATAGAACATACTATTCATACATGCTCCCAGCATACAGGGAATAATTTATAATGTAATTAGCTGGTTTTCCTATCTAGTTGTGGTGATATTCAATTAGAAAGATATTGGATGGTGGAGACCTGACTTAGTAGATGATCTATCTCAGTAGGTGATTGATTATGTTATAAATTATCTGATTTCATAACATAAAAAACTTTCAGTGAGTTAAATCACTGATATTAGTAGAAATAACTGGATCAAGATAAACAGAGTGTAATCTAGTTCAAGAAGACTTCAAAAATACATTAAAGCTCATATAATGATTATGAATAAATATGATAATTAACTGCTGTTACGGCGCAGCTCCTTGTAATATGGATTAAGGTTGATCTGCTCTGATCCCCAACCTCTTCATATTCAGCTGCTCGTTCATTCCACATTCTAATCCCCAGTTTAGTATTCTCATTGCAGGCTGCCTGGTTAGGTAAATTGATGCTTTGTCTTGTTATCATCTTGACTCTAGACTGAGCCATGACACCTGCAAGCCTCCACCGCCTGAGCCTCCACCAGGGCGTACGAACTGTGGTATAGGTCATAAAAGGACAAGCTGTCCTAATCCGATTGTTAATTTAATGTAATTCAATAAACTAGTTGTTACATTGAGATGATGCGAATCAAACCTCGTTAGTTGGTGTTCCGCCGGTTGGAGTTCTGTTAGTTAACTTGTTATAGAGATGGTTAATGTCAAATGTCATAGGTATCGGGGTTTGGTCTGGGATTCGCTGCGCCATCACTCCCATTAGGAGGCAAGGAAAATACAAAGGCATTTTTAATCATCTGAAGACACATACATTTTTAATACCAAAACAAACTACAGAAAACAATAATGCAATTGGAATGGTTGAGGACATCAAGCGAAGCTGTAGCTGCTTGGGGTTTGGGTGGAACCAGGTGACTTAGTTAACTATAGCCTAGCATATTAATTATGCTTACGTTGATTCCTCCAACAATCACAGCAGCCAACCTCCCGAGCCCGCAACAATCGACACACGCTCGCATCTATTTTTAACAACTTCGTCCTTGTAATTACGTTAACAACTCCTTCAGTTACTCTAGCTGTCCACTCTATTCTCCAAAATTACCTTTCAAGAAGCTCTAGGAGCTTAACTGAACTGTTCTCACCTCCAGTCTCTGAGCATCCGCAATTCGGATCTCCGATCAAAATGAAGCCGGTCGTGTCTGCGGCCAACGCCTGGAGCTGGTAAGAGTGTGCATACTCTCCCCGTTTATACAAGGGAAACCTCTATCTATCTGCAACAGGTACAGCAGACTGATACTTCTCTTTCGACCCTGCAGCTTTATCATTTCCATCTTCGCCATCATCATCTTATCAGTCCTTGGCTCTCTATTTAAAGTACGTCGATATCAGGGCTAAGACACACCCTAAAATTACCAGAACCAGCGAGATGGAGGAAGAAGGGAGGGTGCTAGCGAATTCCCTCATGCCACATCGTGTTGCTGTGCTGCAGCTTTAACACGTTCCATCCCCACGCTGAAAGCACGGAAAGACACAGACAGGGAACTAACTAGCATTATGGCATTACAGAACAACCACCATTCGGTCACCGGGTCCACCAAAGACCCGGAGAACGGACCAGCAGTCGCAGCGTCGATATTCACAGCTGTAGCCGTTTACGCTGTACGTAGCTTTTACTCCCCTTCCCCAGACCTCCTTCATCCGTCCATTAGGAATATCTTGCTCGCGCCAACATCTCCAAAAAAAAAAAAAAAAAAACCAACCACTATTAGACATGCTGCACATGCACTAACTGCGGCCCCCCGTTTCTCTATCTATAGTTCTTCATGGTATTTTGCGGCATACAAGCCTTCCTACACGTCCGATCGAGTCGAAGAGGCGCAATATCGTTGAACTGAGAACATACGAACATACTATATTCATTTTATGTTAAAATAATTTCATATCGGGGTTTTACTTCATTCAAATTTATTGTTTACAACCAAATGGGGCGCAAAGGCTGAGATAGAACATGTGGGAGATGTACCCAATATTTTTTTTTTTAACTTTGGTTCCGGTTCTGCTGTTGCATATTAGATAAATCTACTTGGGCACTGGATGTACGTATGATTTGAGCGATTTATTGGGGGTAGACGGATTCGGTGATTTATTCGGAACCCAGTGAAGCGAGGATATGCAAAGGATGCCCGGGTTATACCAATGATATGGCGCTGGCCGACATTGTTCGAAGACGGGACGGCGGCAAAACTATCTCTGCCATTTACATTATGCCCGGTTTAGGGATGGTATATATGGACTCGATCAACTATTGTCAAACATCGCCCTGACCACCATCACCATCAACCATCTTCCCTATTCAGCTATCGGTCTTGTCTTTTCTCCTGGCGCATTTTGTGTATGTAATGTTGCCCTTGCATAATTCTGATTTCTGTATTATCTATGATGAGAAAAAAACTTGTCTTGTGCCTATAGAGCTCGTTCTGGAGTAGGTGATATGTACATACCTGTGGATCTGCGATGTTGGTTGTTGTGGTTGCCGTTGGTATGGACGTCAGATATGCATGTTATCGTGCCCGTGGACTCCGTTCTTCAAAGCGTACATTTCCCCATTTTTACCCTCTATGTACGTATCAAGTCTATCCGTGGATGGGAGAGCAACCAGACGGAATGAATGTTCAAGAGAATGAATATCCCATATGATTGCTTCTTCTTTTTCCTTAAACGCCAAGGGAGGCAGCCAACGCCTGTCCACGCCCGTCTACCTTGTAAAAAAGAGGCCAAACGCCATAATAAGATGCAATAACTAAATCAATATCACCAAGCCATAACTATCCGGCCGTATAGATGTGAAAAATGTCACTCCTCGATAACGCACGGAGCCCCTTCCATTTAGCAGTCCTCCCCGCCAGAATCTTGCCGCTCCATCGGATCAAGCATCTTACTCATATACGGTCCATCAAGCCAATATCCAAGTCTGGCATAATAACTCCTAACCCCAACGCCAGAAATAACACTGATCTTCCGACTCCCATGCTCCTCCCTCGCAATCCTCTCCGCCTCCTCCATCAGCAGCGTGCCAAACCCTCTATGCTGAAACTTGCGCGGATCCCGCCCATGCAACGGCACAGCAGAGCCGTACACATGCAACTCACGCACAAGGCTAGTCTGCTGCGCCGTCAGCTCCGGCCGGAACGTATGCGTCTTGCTACACTTGCGCAACCGCAGCAAGCCAATAAGGATATCCTGCTTCGGATCCTCGTATGCCAAAAACGTCTCCCAGCCACCGTTGGCGGTGTAATCGCGCCGTACAAGCTCGACTTGTGACGGGCGAATTTTGTTCTTCACCTCGTTGATGCCGACTTCACGCGTGCGCACGTCGCGGCACGTGGTGCCGAGGTCCTTCATGCGGCTCAGCGCGAGTTCGCGAAGGTTGCCGTTCTCGACGCCGGAGGTGACGAGGGGCATGGGGATGTCGCGCTGGACGCGGTAGATTCTGGTCCAGGGCGGGACGAGGGCGAGGATGCGCGCGACGATGTCTACGAGGGCGTTTGGCGTGTAGTTTTTATAGCGGCCTGTGCGCCAGAGTTCGTACAGGCCTGTGCCGCGGATAACGAGGGTGGGGTATATTTTTAGGCCGTCGGTACGGAAGTCGGGGTTCTCGAAGTATTCTCGGAATTGGTCGAGGTCACGCTCCATGCCAACGTTTGGGAGGTCGGGCATCATGTGGCTGACGACTTTGAAGCCGGCGTCTTTGGATAGTTTGAAGGTTTCAACTACGGCTTTTACGGTGTGACCTCTGTTGGTGTCGCGGGCGACGTCTTCGTAGAGACTTTGCACGCCGATCTCGAGGCGTGTGCAGCCGTACCGGAGCATGCTACTTAGGTGGGTGTCTAGACAGTAATCTGGTCGTGTTTCGATGGTGATCCCTACACACTTTATGTTACTCATTTCCCCGGCCTGGACGGCCTCGTCGACATTGCTGGTCTGATAACCGCTAAGCGCATTGTGGAGCTGTGATATAAATTCGTCCCGATAGTCCTCTGGCAGGGACATGAAAGTGCCGCCCATGATGATGTATTCCACTTTATCCACACTGTGTCCCAATGATTTGATTTGTTCCACTCTGCCCCTTGCTTGCTCGAAGGGATCGTATCGAGCTCTGATGGCGCGCATGGACGTGGGTTCATATCCGGTATATGATTGTGTAGAATATTCGAAATCAGAGTCAGGGCCACCAGGGCAGTAGACGCAAATATTTCCCGTATAGGCAATATGAGGGCATCGATGTGGTTTGCACATTACCGCCACCACGGCAATGCCGGACGATGTTCCTATGACAAAATCCTGTTAAGCAAAAACACGGATATTTTCAGACAACAAATATTTTCGAAAACACATACTTATCGGCTTCGCAATCAGTTTTGGGAGGATATACTTCTTGTAATACTCCGGGACAGCAGAGATGATAGCCGTCAGTGGGGGTTGGGTGCTCAGACGGTGCTTTTTCGATATTTGACCCCGCAGCTTGTTCAGATTGATGTCCTTCTTCGGCTTGGTGGAGTCTCTCTGAGATTCATATTCTTGGATCAGGGCATTTGCAATATCCGAACATGCTCTCAGGTACCGTTCGTTCTCTGGAGGCAACTTTGCCGTCTTGTGGGGTTTCTGCAGCTGCTTGGTGGGAAGCGCAGTCATGGTCTGCGTCGCCATGATGGCGACGGGTATATAATCTGTAGCAGCTGCTCTAGCTGCAAAAAGCGTTTATCGGAATGTCCCAAATACTATACGAATCCCGGTTGCGATAAATATAGGTTTTGTGGCGGTGAGATAGCAACATGATAATCCTGATTGTCCGTCGAATCCAAGTTTGCTCATTGCAAGCTTCTGGCAGCCCGGGGGATCGGTTTAACTATTTAGCGTGGAGAAGCCAAACGCCATAACAACGTCAGGATCTTTGACAGCATCATAGAGTATTTATATATAGCTCCCCAGCCCGCCAACTCGTCCTTCTTTACTACACTGGGAACTCTCTCCTTTCCTTGCCTGCTATTTTCTCTTTCAACTTCTCTGTACATTGTGCACACTATGCAGGTCTTCAGACGTAGCACGGCTTCTGCACTGCAGAACGCTCTCCTGTGTCAGCGCCGGGGTCTAATTACCTCGACCGCCGGCTATTCCTCGACGATAGACAATCTGCGCATCAATGGCGACACAAAGGTCATCTACCAGGGGTTTACTGGAAAGCAGGGAACGTGAGTGTAATTGTCTTTCGTCCTTGACGCAAAGACTGATTGCTAATGCTGCTTTTGTTTAATAGATTCCACGCCCAGCAAGCAATTGAATACGGTACCGTCCAGCAGACCTCCATCATGAACTCCCTCTGATAGATCTCAGGAACCAACATTGTTGGCGGAACGAATCCCAAAAAGGCGGGTGAGACCCATCTTGGAAAGCCTGTGTTTAGAAATGTGGAAGAGGCGATGAAGGAAACGGGCGCAACAGCCTCCGCCATCTTCGTCCCGTATGCGCTAAGTGCCACCATATATTTTAATATATTGACTAATAATTGGATAACTAACCCCCGTTTAGACCTCCAGTAGCTTCCAGCAGCATCGAGGAGGCAATTCGGGCGGAGGTGCCTCTCGTCGTCTGGTTCGCTCCCCCCATCTGATGTTCTATGAGAACCACTAGAAGAAACTGACAGGGCATCTTTCGTAGCATCACGGAAGGTATCCCACAACATGGTACGTGATTTTCCCTAAAAATTCCAATTCCGACACAGTAATATTTTACTAAATACCGTGTAGATATGGTTCGCATAACCGATATCTTGAAAACGCAAAGCAAGACCAGATTAGTCGGCCCCAATTGCCCCGGCATTATTGCTCCAGTATGTGAACCCGCAAACCTCCTTCACAAACAATAAATTAAACTCAATGAATCTAACCAAAAAAAAAAAAAATTACCACAATAAAACAGGGCCAATGCAAAATCGGCATCATGCCCGGCTTCATCCATCAACGCGGCCGCATCGGCATCGTCTCCCGCTCCGGCACCCTAACCTATGAAGCCGTCAACCAGACCACCCAGGCTGGCTTAGGCCAGTCCCTCGTCATCGGAATCGGCGGTGATCCCTTCTCCGGCACCAACTTCATCGACTGCCTCAAGATATTCCTCAAGGACGAGGAGACGGACGGAATCATCATGATTGGCGAGATTGGTGGGAGTGCTGAGGAGGACGCGGCGGAGTTCCTTAAGAGTGAGAATAAGGCGAATAAGCCTGCCGTTGGGTTCATTGCGGGTATCAGCGCTCCGCCGGGTCGGCGGATGGGTCATGCTGGCGCCATTGTGAGTGGGGGGAAAGGTGGAGCTGATTCTAAGATCTCCGCACTTGAGGCGGCGGGGGTGATTGTTGAGCGTAGTCCGGCTTCGTTGGGGAAGACGCTGCTGGCGGAATTTGTAAAGAGGGATCTTGTATGAGAAAGCACTTTTATTTTGCAGTCTCTCGGTTTTTTTATGTTGGTTTTTTTTTTGTATATTTGCTCTAAATCTTTATTGTTGCTTTTAGATCATCTGCTTTAATAACTTGCATACATGCTGTTATACTGTCATCATATTTTTTTTGGTTCCCTTCTTTTCTCCTATCATTTCAATCACATCTTCCATTTTTGTGTTTTCTGACATTTCTCTCGCGGCTCCTATTTAACTGCTTCCACAAATTGGGACTGATACCCGTCCTAGGTAGTTGTTGTCCTTGTGGATTGGATTTTCGTTACTTTCCCTTTTTTTTTTTTTGTGTTGCATTGCATTTGCATTTGCATTTGCCATCGCACACAAGAAATATGGAGCTTTTGGTTTGTAGAGACAAGAATATTAAGTTGAATCCAAACGATCTATCGTGATGGTTGGAATGCTTTTGCCTGCCAGGTTACCTTGAAGTTATACCAAGTACACGCACGTCCTTTGTACCCGCTGTTACCAGTATGAGATAATGAGGAGTGACACGAGATGGGAACACATAGAGGTTTCCAAGATGAGGTGAAAATAGAGGTGAAAATAGGAGTTCAAAATAATTTACAGAAAGACCATTGCCCAGGGAACGAACGTATGTAATATAGGATTTCAAAATGCGATCAGGGGAAGATGCAAAAATCTTAAAAGAATATTAACGTGGTTTTTGCTCATGGCAGCCAGCCAGCAACTCTCATTCCATTCCATATTATATCAATTAACCTCTCCTCGAAAACTGGAAGTTATTCATTAACTATCCATAACACTACTGCGAATTACATAGACGAAGCACCTAGGACGCAAAACAAAGACTACAAAAATGAAGATTAACAATCAGACCATCAAAGAAGCAGAGGTGAAGATAGGGATTGGGCGAAGGGAGAAGCGGTAGAAATTAACTAATTTATGGATGGATAAAACTGTTAAGACAAGATCTCAAATCACATAGATAAATGACACAAGCAGCCGCCCATTCAGCAACCATACAAATGCTGATAACAATAAATACCAAAAAGAAAGAAAAGAGAGGAAAAGAGAAAAAGAGAAAAGGTAAAAGATCAAATAACCATTTCATTTCACCCAATACCTCGTCAAAATATACGACAAAGCTTGTGGTGGGGGAAAAAACACAGTGGGTGGTACATAACAAACGAAACGCCGATGTCCACAAAGGAGAGGGGGAAAACAATAAAAAAACAAGCTGTGTAAAACAGGAGAACTGAAAATGCTTTATCAAGAGGTGGAAAAGGGACAGGTTTTTCAACGGATTTGGCTAAGCATGGAACTCTGAAGGTAGGGATTGTAGGGTTGACTAGCAGAAATAGATGTATGGGTGTGAAGTAGGTGTGTAGGAAAAACAACCAGGGCCAAATATGCTAGCAAGGCAAGTTGAGAAGAAGACTCTTGTCCATTCCGATTGAGTAATGTATGTATTGAAGGGGAAATGAAAAAGTAGGGTTTGATATAGTAAAAGAGTGGGGAGGAAGGGGAAACATGGGATAGAACGTAGAAAATGAAGAAGAGAAAAAGAAAAAAATATAAAAATCATAAAAGGACATGGCGGTAAGTTGGAAAAAAAGCAAGGTAATAATAATACTGAAATAACTTCTAGAAAGAAGAGAAAAAAAAATATAGATATATGCCGTACAATTTTTCTTTGCCAATTCCAAACTCAAAAAGAAAAAAAAAGAAAGAAAAAAAGTCCGTTCATATTAACAAACTCCAATAACCACCCCTATTCCCCTTCCACACACAAAAATTTTCGATTTTACTCATTATCACTTACACCACCACTACTCGACCCATTAGTCAACGGAGCCGCCGTGCTATCCTTCGACCCTCCACCGCCAAACGTCAACTTGAGTTTCTGATGGTGCTGTTGTCCCGAAACTGAAGCGGTCGCTGACGCTGATGCCAATGCCGAAACTGAAGCTAGTGGGGTACCGACACTCGATACCGCGCCTGAGGAGCTCTGGTCATCAAAGTCGGCGAATTCAGGGTGATTTTCTGTTTCGCGTTTGAGTTCGGAGACACAGAGGGCCTGGAGGTGGGTTAGCAATGGGATGGATGGTGGATGATTTATCGTGAGAAAAATAAGAAACATTTTTGAACAGAAGAAGAGGGGAAGAGGAAGAGTGTGTGTCATGGGATTCCTTTTTCTTTTCTTTTCTTTTCTTTTCTTTTTTTTTCACTCACCTCAATATCATTGGCATCCTGAAAAAGCACACTCCCATCCTCATTATATGTGCGGGCATTATTGCAAAGCAACCTAATATCCTCTCTAAACTCCTTCAAACTCTGATACTCTTCCCGATTAATCTTCTTCCGAATCATCTCCATCGCAATTGGAGTCTGGATAATCACATAGTAATCCGGATAATGGCTTTTGGGTGGCGGCTTCATGAACGGCTCGATAATAGACCGAGTGACGGGCCCATCTTCACTATCTGACGAATCGGCAGGGAGCTCTTGTTCCAGATCCATGAGGGCTTGGTAGACTTTGTTGAGAATTCTCTGGAGGACAGTTCGATCGGAGGGCGCCAGGGTATCTGCAGCGGCCATAGCGGCTTTGCTCATTCGACCCTTCTTTCGTTTGACGGGGGTTTCATCGATGTTTTCCTCCGCCTTTCGCTTGGGGACAGGACCCTTGCGTCTCTTCTTCAGTGGCTGCTGGGGGGTTTCTGAGTTCTCCCTTGATGGTTCGGGGGATGAGTCAAGGCCTTGAGCTTTCTTCATCCGTTTCTCCTTGTTGCTCCGCCTTCGATCGAGTTTAGCTTCGTTCCTTGCAATTGCGTCTTCGATAGTGTCATCGTCCGCATCCACGGCCATAAGCCACTGCTCTTCGGTAAGTCCATCATCATATTTCATGACCTTCCTTTCACGTGCGCCGCGACCCGCAAATTCCTCTACTTCTTCCGCAACTGGGTTATCTTCGGCGAGATATATATCAGGTAATTCCTCATCAACCATGAGGCGGGCGTATTTCCGCCCAGGGCCATAAGGGTCGTTCTTGTTACGTTCTTGATCTATCTTCTGGAATAAAAGTATCTCTTCCTCAGACCGGGCCATAATGTCGTTAAGGTCATCGTCATCCATTTCATCCTGATCGCCACCAATTTGCTCAGCACTTTCAGCACTCTCCAAAAGGGTACGTAGCAAGGCATCACGCTCCTCATTCGTAGACTTGTTGTCAAACTTTCCAGCCTGGATAACTTTCCCATCCATGTCCAATTTGAACTGCGCCCGTTCCAGAATCCTCTCTTCAACAGAGTTGGAAGTGATTAGTCGTAGAATTCGGACCTCGTTCTTTTGACCAATACGATGAGCTCGATCCTGCGCCTGTAAGTCCTGATGAGGGTTCCAATCGGAGTCGTAGATGATAACCGTATCTGCAGTCTGAAGATTCAAACCGAGACCACCCGCACGAGTAGATAGGAGGAAACAGAAATATTCCGAACCGGGGGCATTGAACTCCTTCAATAGATCTGATCGGTCATCAGACTTAGTGGAGCCATCCAGACGAAGATATTTCATGCCACGAAGCCGCAAGAAATCCTCCATGATATTCATAATCTGTGTCATCTGGAAGAACATCAATACGCGGTGGCCCGATGCCTTGAACTTAGGCAGGATCCGATCCAGTAGCTCGAATTTACCAGCCGTCCGCCAGATCAGGTCATTTGTAGCCCTTCCTGGATTCATTTCGTCCTCTACAGATTCAAATACGAAGGGGTGGTTGCAAAGTTTCCGGAGCTGCATGAGCATGTTGCTCAATCCACGCATACCAGTTTTGCCACCTTTACCATCACTAACCACCAGTTTGTTGTGCGTGACGAGCTGCTTATAGAGCTTGGCTTGCAACGCAGAGAATCGGCATTTAATCACTCGTTCCTGTTTTTCCGGGAGGTCCTTCTCCACGTCCTTCTTCAAACGTCTCAACAGGAACGGACGAAGAACCTTGTGCAGTCGTCGAATAACGAGCAACTGTTCTTCTTCTGTCAGGTCCATACGGTCTTGTCCTCCTGTATTGGCAAATGGCGTGTTGAACCATTCATCGAAGGACTTGACGGACTTGAAGATGTTCGGGAGGACGAAGTTTAGAAGGTTCCACAGTTCGGGAAGGTTGTTTTGCAGAGGAGTGCCAGTCAAAATTAGGCGATAGCGGGTCGTGTAATATTGAGTTAAAGTACTACTTAATTTCGACCCGGCATTCTTCATGCGGTGACCTTCATCAACAATCATGTGAATCCACTTAACCTTGCTTAGGACTGGTCGGTCTTTAATAATATATTCATAGGTCGTCAACAAAACCTGGAAATTACCCCATCGAATCGCCTGCTGCTGCTGTTTCCGCGTAGTTGGAGGACCCTTGTACACGATACGACTCACAGAGGGTGCCCACTTTTCGAACTCAAGATTCCAATTGGTAAGGGTGCTGAGTGGAACAATAACCAAAAACGGACCGTTTTGTTTTTTCTTCTCGATCAGGTAAGTGATTAAACTTATGGTTTGGATGGTTTTACCAAGACCCATCTCGTCTGCCAATATACCGTTCAGGTTGTTGTTATAGAGTGAGATCATCCACTGGAGGCCCTTGATCTGGTATTCTTTCAAAGTGCCGCCAACAAGGATGCTGGGTTGCTCCGTAATCTCTTCTTTCAGACGATGGGCAACAGCATAGTAGTCAACTTTCCTACCACTCTCCTCCAGCTCATCATCGTCATCTTCAATCTCTGACTCGTCATCATCGAACCGATTTTCTTCACCGTATCTTTCAGCAGTGCTTTTCTGTTGTTCTTTGACGGAAGCAGCGAGTTGTCGGAGGAAGCCATCAGTCTGTTTAAGCAAGTGAGAAATACGTGAATCCTTGGCCTGGCCAAGCAGTTTCATATATGTCTCTTCATCGTTCGCCTTCAAAGCCTGCAGACGTTGTTTAGCAGTTCTTTCTACACGCTTCTGTTCATCACGTTCCATGTCCTGGTGATGTTTCATCATGAGGCGTCCTAGTTTCTGAATCCGTATGCGTTGCTGGTTTGCTGCAAGTTGGACTTCGCGACCATGACTGAGAATTGCTTGTAGCTGTTCAGATTGCTCCCTCTTCTCCCTCGATTCTCGCGCGTCTCGTTGCTGCTTCTCAAGTTTCTCAGTGACTCTGGCTTCACGAAGAGATTGTTTCTTCATGCGACGATGACCAGCCCGGTTCGCTGTCATTGCCAGATTGTCGAAGTGAAACATCTCTGTTTGGATCTGCTTGCGGAAGAGTCTCTGTTTCGGCAACAGGTTCAACATCTTGTACTCAATCAAGGCCTTGAGCTTGATGGAATCGTCTCCAGTCGGGGTATCACTCTCATCTGTATTCCAGACTCCCAAGTTTGCAGGCAATTTTCCTAACTCCGCCTTTCGGGCTGTTATTAGATTGTACAAAGCAGTTTCTTGATCCTCCTTGGCCTTTTCAATATCAATACCCATTGGCATGAGGCTGGGAATTCTACGTCTATTCCTTCTGAAGGCATGATCAGCGTAGTTGATGGTCTCAGCAAGGGCATTGTATGGAGATTCAAACGTTTCGTACATCGTCTTCGGTTCAGTTGCCTTTTCGTCAGATGGAGTAGGTTGGCTTTCCCGAACTTGTTCAACGTTATCAACGTTGTCTGACATCGCAATACCATCAGTGGTTGCAGGCGAGAACTTTTTAGCAAAAAGTTGTTGCTTAACGCGCGGTGGTATAGCAAGGTTCTTGGAGAGCATCTTGAAAGCAAGGATCTGATTTCTCAGCGTGGTCAACTGTTCCGGCGAGAAGGTGCCGCCAGTTGAAGATACACCCTTCGATGGGGCAGCATTGCTTTGCTGCTGAGTTACCGGGTTGGACTGTTGTCCAGCGGAGATGGCAGCCGCGGGGTCCTGACTGGAGCCGCCAGACATGGAGCTCATTGGTCCAATTCGACCTAATCAGATGCAGAGAAGAAATGGTTAGCAAAAATTCTCATCTTGAGGCGGGAATGCGACGAGATGGCACGGGAGATTACCATCAACACCATTGGGTAGGTTATCGTTGGGGATGCCATTGGGTTGTTGCGACTGCTGTTGCTGTTGTTGATGCGGTTGTGGTTGCGGTTGCGGTTGCGGTTGCTGCTGATGTTGTGATCGTTGCTGTTGCTGGTTGTGCTGATGCTGCTGCTGCTGCTGTTGTTGTTGTTGCTGTTGCTGTTGCTGTTGCTGTTGCTGTTGCTGTTGCTGTTGCTGTTGCTGTTGCTGTTGCTGTTGCTGTTGCTGTTGCTGCGCATGTTGCAGTCGTTGGGTCTGGAGTTGCTGCTGCTGCTGATGTGCAAATTGGCGTTGCTTCTGATAGGCTTGCTGCCTTTGGACGAGAGCCAGGAGATTATGGGCTTTGATGTATTCTGGATCGTCCTGGCGCACGCCTTGCTCTTGCATCTGGCGAAATTTCTTTTGAAAACGTTAGCTTGGATGCATAAGAGAGAGATGTCGATGGGATATGGGGTGCATTGGGCGTTTATATAGTAAAAAAGATTTTATAACAATAAAAATAATCCAGAATTGAGGGGGGGGTCCCGATCAGTCAGGGTCAGGGCAAGGGACAACGAACATGATAGACCTCCTGCACATGTTGTTGCGTGAGGTTGGGAGGTAGGCTGAGATTGGGCGTGGCCACCGCATTTGGGACGCCCTGAATAGAAGCCATGGTGTCAGGGGGGGATTATTGAGGACATTAAACGGAGCCAGCCCTTTGCGAGGCGTTGCCTGGGGAGGAGGCTGTTTGTTTCGGGGGAACGGGGGAGGAGAAAAGGGAGGACGAAAGTGGGCGACAGAGGGTCGCGAAGGTGTAGCGACAGACAAGCGGCCTGAGCCAGGCCTGTGGAGGAAGAAAGGAAGGTCTGGGGTGCGGAGCGGGACAACCGTAGGGCTGCAGCGATGCTTGGCGGATGGGAGAGGCCTGAGATTTTGATGGAATGAGACCCAGGCGGATAAAATAAGAGGCAAAAGAATAGAGGTGACAAGCAAAAAGGGAGGCGGAGGGGGGAAGAGAACGGAAGATGGGTGTAGATCCAGGCGGAGTGAACGGGCAGCGGCGCGTTGGGGCGCGTAGGGCGGGAGCGGAGGGATGGAGACGATGATTTGATACTGGGAGAGTTTGTCGCGACGCTGGGGCGGGAGGTGAGATCAGAAGAAACGGAGACTTGGCTGGACACTGAAAGCGAAGGAAGAGGCTGAAAAAGCGGTTTGAAGGGGCGAGAAGGGCGCTGTCCCGTGACCTGGGCGGGCGCTGACTCAGCCGGAAAAATTGGGACTGGACTCTGGACTAGGCCGTATTAGGGTTAGGCCACAGTGGATGAGTCAGCGGAGCTTGGAATGGCACCTGACCTTCATCTGCCGGGGCTTCAAACGAGAAGAGAGAGAGAGAGAGAGAGAGAGAGAGACAGCGGCTGGTATACTTCTTGGTTGCCAGCTATTGTGGAGGTCACTCACTAACCTAGGTTCTTGCTACTGCGCATGATGTTTGGCTGCTACCCTCCGAGTTTTGGACAGATCAATCTCATTTAGCCTCTCGCAGGAATGGCCGGGGTCCCAGATTTCCCAACTCTCATTTCTACCAAAGATCAGTCTTCCAGTTAACTGGTCTCGAATAACTAGAGACAAAAAGCTAATTGAAGGAGAGAAAAAGAAAGAGAAAGAGGGAGAGGGAGAGGGAGACGCAAAGCCCGTTGCTTTCAACTGCTAGGCATGTCGTTTCCTCTGTTTGACCTATGACGCTGTTGCTGCTTCCCTCCTCTTGAAGCTCCACTCCACTCAATTCCTCAATATATGGAATGCTCGACCATCGCATGGAGCAGTGCGAAGTCGGACCTCTTGGGGGAATATCGGCTATGTTAAGATGTATACATATCACAGATCCCCAAGTTCTATCCATTTTCTCTTCCCACATCACGCCCATTTCTACTCTCTATACCCAATCCACAATATATATACCACTCATTGATACACAGTTGAGACTCCTCCTTCTCGGAAAAGGGCACTCTTTTACTCGCCTGCAACTGAAGTGATCTGGAGGGTTGATAAAGGAAAGAAAGAAACCCTTTCTCGTCACGTCATAGCCCAAGCCTGCGAACAAAAAGAATAGCAAAAGACAATGGTACCCAAAAATGAAGTCTACCTCGAATTCGCAGTCGTCCGCCTCAGGGACATCTTCAACACCCTGCACCGTATGGGCCCCGTCATCCGAGACCTGAAGATATCTACAGCCATACCAGACAGGATCAGTACCACCGCATTCGTCATCGCCTTCCTGGACTGGGCTATCTCGCCCAGATCCATCGCAGGAGATCTCATCCGGGTGCTTGAGAGGGTCGATGTTAACGTAATGGAAGAGGATGCTGACACCGTCATGCACAAGCTGACGATGAAGAACGAGGCGAAGGAAGCCGTTGTGTCGTGGGCGCGGTTCTGGTGTTTGAATCTTTTGTTTCCGAGTTAGTTTTGCTGTTTGGAAGCTTGGAAAAGGGATCCTCCCATATTTTAACTCTTTATCTTGCACCATTGGTATAATATATATTGACCAAAAGATATACCTAGTGATGGACAGGCAGCTCTTGGGCAACTTGCCGGAGTATTGGTCGATAATGGCTGACATAAGGCACTCTGTAAGTAACTAACTGTCAACTCGGGGCTGCGGGCTAAGGCTGCGGGCTGCGGGGGAAGGGCGGGGTGTCAAAAAAGGAGAGAACATCAATCGTTAATATATACATGTGCCATACACACAATCCGCCAAAACGAAGGTGATGCAACGAGACTCAAACCGCTGCCCCGTCACCGGCATCTACGACACCTTTACCGCAACCAACGTAGAACCCCAGGGCACCCTAGCCGCCGTCCACATCATCCCCCCCCGAATATCCTACAACAAAACCGCAAAAACTCTCATCAGCAAATTCACTGGCGGCCAAATCCTCCCAGAACACCTCTCCCCCGAAAACATCGACGCCATGGATAACGCCCTCATGCTCTCCACAACCATCTCCACCCTCTTCGAACAATACCGCTGGTCCATCTGCCCAGAACGCCAAGGAAACCCACGATTCTCTTTTTCCGTCCCAGGCTACCACGAGGAAGAGCATTCCTACCGCCTGCGCAAAGTCGCCGATTTCTACCCGCCCAACACCTTGTCCGCACCGGAGGATTCCAGGATCCTGTTCGGTCGAGGACCGCCCGAGGGGGGTGTGTTCGTCTTGCCTAACCCGTCCTATCTGCGCTTGCATTATTCGCTGGCGCTGATCTTGGAAGCGACGCAGGCTGGGAAGACGATTTCGAGGATTCAGCATGCGATGATGAGGTCGGGCCTTGGGCGGAGGGCTTTGGTGTTTTGGGGGGATGAGATGGAGGTTTTCTTGCCTACGATTTACAGAAGGGGCATGGAATGTGTACTGGGGGTGCTTCAGTGGTATGCGGAGGAGGCGGAGGCGAAAGCTGTGAGGCAGAGGGAGAAGGGGGGGGGATGAGGAGAGGAGGTAAGATCGAGTGGTGGGATTGAGGGATCTGTCGTTCTTTTCCTTTTTTTTTATTATTTTTTTGTTCTGGTTCTACCCTTTCCTATTCTCTGGAAAGACTTCCGCTGGTTTATTCTTTCAAGTCGCCAGGTTGTTAACTGTTGCATATTCACCTATGAACCCGTTTCTTTACTTTCCTTTTTACGGCGAGATGAAGGGCCCGGGTTTTTGCTGTTTTCTCTCTTGTTGCACTTTGATACGATTATGTAATTGCTCTAAAACTTGGGCAACCTACAGGAGCCAATAGTTGGAAAAGGGAGATAGTGAATCTCTCAACTGTTTTTGATTTCAAATATTAGAGGGGGAGGAGAGGTTGACAAACACCTCCCTTTCCATTTCCCTTTCATACTTTTATCATACTGCAAGGCAAAAAAGAAAAAGAAAAAGAAAAGGAGAAAAACAAAAAAAGAAAAACACAAGGCAAGGAAAGAAAAAGCAAATGGCAAACACCCAATAAAGAAATTATCGTACTCCCTCATCTAGAAAGAAAGCCACCTGGGATCTTTAGACAAATGGATGATTTTGAGTTAGTTTTCTCTTTTTTTCAAAATAAAAAATAAAAAATAAAAAATAAAAAATAAGGGGGAAAAGGAATAACTAGAGCCAGCAAAGGAGGACCCAAAGCCTTAAAATCAAAGGAAAGAGTCGTGAAACTTAGGGGTTAAAATAAAAACAACCCAGGTGTCTTCGTGAGAGATGCACGTAACATAAAAAGAAAATGTAGATAGGGAAAATCATTTCATGGGTTAAACCCGCCAAAGACATAAGAACAGAACATTTTGACGAAACCGATACCCGCATACCGATATTCAACAAAACGCAGCAGACGAATTGAGGCAAAAAAGCGATCGACGCTGAGAAACATTATAGCGACAGTCGCGCAAAGAGAGAGAGAAAAGTAGAAAAGGGAAAAGCTTGCGCACATGGAAGTCATTAAGAGATTCGATCTGATACCAGCAAAACATTCATTACCAAAAAGGGGCATTCAACTTTCGTCAGTTCATTTCTTTTCAAGAACTACACAACAACAACAATTAAACAAAAAAGGAATAAATAAATAAAATCACACATTCCCAGCACCAACGAGATGCCTCTTGCCCGCTGGCGGCGGTGGTGGTGGCGGCTTTTTAGCTCGCGACGGCGGTGGCGGCGGCGGCCCCTTCTTACCCATCGTACCCGCCGAGCTTCCCGCAGCCTGTTGTACCATCGTCATACTTGCTGCACGCGACATCACGCTGCCATTCGACGTCGCGGGAGAAATAGGTCGGCCGGCAGGGAAGTATCGGTCGGGACTATTTCCCTTGCCGAAGGATGCGTCATCGGGTGACTCCGGGTAGTGCTCGTGGGGTCTGCTGGTGCCGGTGCCGGTGCCGGTGCCGGTCGCGGTTCGGAGTTGTAGTTGGGTGTTGCGGCTGTTACGCTGTGCTGGAGAGTCGTCGAATCGCGGCTGGTGGGTGAATCCGTCGAATGTTGAGGTGCGGTTTATGGATCGTGGCATTGGTTGTTGTTGTTGTTGTTGTTGCAGGTTCTGTTGGTATGAATCGGTGGAGTAGCCTCTGGGTGGGGATGCAGTTTGGTACGTGGATGCGGACCGGTTCGATTTGATGGCTGGACGGGATTCTGGGGATAGGACTGGTACAGGTTCTTTGTGCACAGGTTCATATCGATCGTGAAGTGAGTGTGCTGTGTTTGACCGATTGCGCCCGGGCCGTCTGGATAAGCCGCCTTGCGACTGTGTTTGACTGTATCATTAATGTTAGTGTGACGTTCAACGTTGCAAGAGGGGAAGTGGGGGCGCTCGATTCTCAGTGAAGACTCACCCTGCAGGCCAGTTGTTTTTCAGTTGCAATAGAAGGTCTCGACATTGATCGTAGTAGTTGAGTTCAGCGTCCAAAAAAGCCGCAAGGTCGGCGATACTGTCTGCTTCAGCTTCTCTAATGTCTTCCATGCGCCGATAGACGTCTTCAGTGGACTCCTCGTATTTTGCCTTCTGATTTCTAAGTTCCTCCTCCATTCTGAAGTCCTCCCGTTTCGCCTTTTGCATCTTCGTAAGGGAAGCATCATATGCGATCCGACGGGTTTCCAGCTTCTTTCTCGCGTTCTAAACACACATATTGTCAGTCACATCGGACGGTACATCGCACATTTAAATCTAGAGAGACGCCCCATACCTGATACTCCTTCATTTGGACAAGTGATCGATCGAGCGACTCCAGCCAGCTGCTAGTCGCATTTGATATGTATGTTTCCTGGATCCTCGCAATACGTTCATTTGTCCGCCCAAAGCCTAGAGCCAAGGAATCAATGTCTTCCCGCCACAACTGAGAAAGGGATCCCACTCACCGATGAGACACTGTCCGAATTCTGAAGTGCTTTCGAAGTCTTCTCCGTGGCTCACCATAACCCCACCCATATATCCGACTGGAAGAGTCTTTTCCTTATCGTCTCCTTCATTCCGCTTGGACAGAGCTTTCATGTAAGTTGTCATTGATCTTTGGAGTCGTTCCATCCCTGAAACCAAGCACGGCAATAGTTAGCAAAGTACAGCGCAGTATTGGATGAGCCATCTGCGGGTGTTCCTCAGTCTCTCCTCACCTTCATGTCTCAAGTTCATCTCCATCTCCAGCGCCTTAAAGTCATCTGAGACATTGGTTTTCGCCTCTGATCCCATTCGCTCCCCCGCCCACTGCTTAAAGCGATCGAGTTTCTTGTTGACCATCATCTTGAAAGGATATCGAATGATCGTAGGATGGGTTTAAAATGCCTCACTTCCGCGTCCGAACTTTTGGATTGCAGAAGAAGTAATGGTTGAAAAGAATTGATACTGCGAAAGAGAGACTTCCTGCAGGGTGATTTTAAATCAAAGAGATGCCAGGGCCCGATTGCTGACGTTTCAGGTGCTTTGTGGTTTCATCAGCATGGGGTGGTAGAGGTGGTAATGATACAATGTAGGATTGAGATGGCGAGAAAAGAGGAGGGGGGTGTGAGAGGGAGGTAGGGAGGCAGAGAGGGTAGTAAAAGTGAGGAGAAGAGTGAGTGACGATAAATCACAGATCAATGATCAGCGGCCCAGAGGTTCAGACAGGGTGTTCAATGAATGCACTGCAGACAAGAAATGTTGGAGGGAGGGTTGACAAGTGGCGGCGGAGTCAGGTTGAATGATTATCAGGGTCAAAGTCAACGTTCCAGGTCAGGTGACACAGACAACAACAACAACAACAACAACCATCTCTGTCTGTCGCATTCACTGTTGATTTATTTATTTATTTATTTATTTATTTATTTATTTATGCGGCGGGATATTTTTGTCATTAAGTGGTAGAGAGAGAAGAGAAAAGAGAGTCAGACGTCCCGATGGCAACTAGATATGGGGATATCGTGGACAGCGAACAAAAAGGCCCAACCCTAGTTAGTTTACCTGCTTGCTTGGCTTGTCAGGCAAGTCGCTTGGTGCAGTTTCACCTTAGAGTTGCACTAGAAATATCCGTGTTCCAGGGGTTCTCAACCATTGCTCACTTCACCCCCCCCGGCCTGTGGCTGGTCTCCCCAGTTCTCTCTGTCAACGTCTCTGCGCCAGTAAGCCGCTTGGGTCCCAGGGCAGACCTATTTCAAATAGTACTTAAAAGCTCCAAATGCAATAAGCTTCCCACCCAACAGCGAATTGCCGCTGGCTCAAACCTGAACCTGGTAGAAAGATAGTTTCCGTGTCTCCGTTAGGCAAACGACAATATAAACAAAGCAAATGAGAAAACAATAATGACATTGCCCAATGGAATCCCTGCCTTTGTCTGCCGCCCAACCAATATTCAGATTCAAGCAGTATCAAGCTGGTTTTTTGAGTTCTGGCGTTCGGCACAAGAAGCGCTCTGGGATCCCCCATCACGCACTTGGATCCATTAAGTCCTTGTATGCGGCGGTTACCCCATCGCTTAGAGCTTGCAGGGAGGTTGTTTGGAGCGACGACCCAAGACCCAGGATGGCTGGTTGAGAGCGATCGACCGCTTAGGCCCTCAGAACAAAGCACACCTGAGGAGATCTCGCCCAGATATGCACTTGTCAAGTTCCTGATGGCCAGACCTGCTCTGTTTATGGACTCGAAGGTTTGAAGCGCTGGATGGAGCGTCATCAAGTTCTATTTTTGATACCAAACGCAACTCTTCTCTTTGACATGTAACTAACTTTGGTTGAAGGTTCATCCTGGGAGCAAACGTCACGTAATAACTTCCTCTTGGTGTTTTTATCTCGCGCTCTGCTATAATCAGGAGCACCGCGCCATTGGCCGCTATTTTAGCTTTGTTTTATTTGTTGAGAGCATTTTTGCTGTCATCAGAGCTCCAAAAGAGGAAACAAAAATCACCTCGTCTCTGAGTGATATCGAGTTTCCCCGCATACAAGCTCTCCTTGCTGTGGATGAATATTATGAGAATGATGAACCCAACAAAATCCAAGATAACTACGGCTGTATTACAAAAGTTGAGAACAATCTCAGATCACAAAATTTGTCTGATAAATTGCCCTTGCTGACTGTCAAGGAAGCTATTCTATCCCTAAATATCGGGAGTATCGGCATCGATTGCCAATTTTGCAAAGTTCGAATGCACCATTCCAGCTTCATGCTCAGCCTTCAAACGCGACAATGCCGGCTGCACCGTTCCTGCCAACCCGTCCGAATTTTATGAAGATGCACGGAGCTCTTCCAGCTGCAAATCCCCGGATAATATATCTACACACAAATCTCAGAAACTCCAAGTGTCCATTACCCTTAAAGCCAAGCATCAGGGAGGTCAAAATGCTTTCATGAGACATAAAAAATTTATCCGTCTACCAAAAGCCAGTAGTGGCTTTCGTCAGCACGTCTGTTGTGTGCGTGTTGATGACGTAGTCGACCGCACGACGAGTGCTGAGGTGGCCGGCTTCATGAAGTCTGGTGTTTTAATTCTTTTTGACCTTTGCCAACTTTCGCAATTGCATCACCTTTTCCTCTCGACAATGAGGGCTTTCACATACTGTGACCCGTTCTCTGCAATTGCGATTTCATGATGGTCAGTGCTATTGTATGCCAACTTGATAGGGAAGGAGATAGATTGGTTTCAGGGGCGGCTGCCAGGGGTACGGAGGGGGCGGCTTGTCTGTTGTGGGGGGGGGGGGGGGGGGGGGGTGTGTGTGTGTGTTATGGCTGTGGTCAGTCCAGCGAGTGGGGTCGATGCGGCTTCTATCGGAATTGAGAAAGTTTGTTGTGTTGGCTAATTGCTTTTCTTTCAATCGACTAGAGACGTGTCTTGACGGTCCCTTTTGCCCCTTATCTATGGCTCAACTGATGATGTATGTCGCGTTAGGTGGAAATGTGTATGGCTCTGGGCAATTGTACGTGTTCAGCATACGAACCATCTGAAGCTTTCATTTCATGGCGTGCCGCAAGTCTATCCCGCAGCTGAAATAGCCTGCTTGATGCATCGGACTAAATTCAATCATCACGCCTCCCCTTCCTATACATTTCAATCCGTACCTCAGGTTCTACTGTGTTCTCGCCAAATTATTCATTGATCCCTGAAATACCATTCAGGATTCAGTTCCTTTGGCCCCCTTGAAACAACTTGGCTATGCTGTTGCTTTCAGAGACGCTATCCGCTCTGGCATTGCTCCCGGCCCTTAACTTTGAACTTCGGATGGCCACTTTGGTAAGTACATCATCGGATTGTTCTGTGATGTGACTTTCAACAATCATCAGTGATAGTATGGCGAGATTGCACTTTCTATACTGACGCCATCTCTCAAGTTTAAGGGGTTGGGGGCACTAATAGCAATGAAAGAGAACCATCTCTGATAAAGTTCCCTGTGTGGCACATCTCTCCCACGATATCACGTCCCAACTATTTCCTGTCTAGGTACCGCACTCACCGGTCAATATAGGTACAGAGGCAAATTTTATCCCCTCTTCCGTAGATTGTTGGGCCCGATTAAAAAGGCTCGATCTAGTCTTACTTTAACAAACATGAGATGGACATGGACTCGACAGCTAAAATATTTGTTTGAATGAAAACTCGGGGATGATTGCCGGTTGGGCGGGTTCATTTCGGTAAGAAAATGTGTATATTTTTTTATATTTACGCCGTGATCGTAGCTTGTGCATTTAAAATCGATTTCACGTCTGAGATGTATATATCATATTGATCTACGTAGCTGTTGCTGTTATTAATTATGAGAAGTCAAACGTCGCAGCTTGGCCAGATGTTTTGCCAGGAAACAAATTCGCTGTCAACAACATTCGTACCTCACTCAGTTGCTCATCCTTATCTTCTCTTTTATTCTTTCCCGTCGCCCTTGATCCTCCTTTCATGAATAAACACCGATCAATTCTAATGTTAAACGTCTCTTCCCTTATTCACAATTTGAATAAGAGATATATGTGCTCGTTCTCTGCAAGAATGGCTCTCTCTGCTTGGAGCTAGTATTCGGCAGCCAGGATAGCCTGCCGACTACAATACGGGTATCTATTTCTATTTTGCTTTCTAAAATCCAGTTGCTGGGTGAGAACTTGCATCCACCGCCAACCGGCAATGCGTGAAATTGTTTTGCTGGTGTTTTGCTTGTGGGAAGAAAGAGCCGGATTGAACAGCCTATTTAATGTCATATCTGGCGATCCTTTTGATCTCCGCGTGCTCAACCACAAGAGATAATACGGTCACTAGCCATGGAGTTTTTTCTCACTCATCAACAAATCTGAGATATCTTTTTCACACACTACAACCAGCATCACATAATGCTCAACATAAACAGGAGAAGAGACTTCTTGCAACAGATGCCGTACCTTCATTTTGCGTCTGGGAATTGGTGGAAGGTCCGCAATGCCATGCTCATCTCATGCTAGTCATTATTGCTAACTACACTGTGGGTAAAATAGAATAATGATGTGAATAACAATGTGCACCAAGCAGCCATATTCTGGGCAGGTGGCTATCAAACCTTTGGTGAAACATGTCATCATGAGACGTCGTGGGGATATAGCGAAGCCCTTGGGTCTGGAAGTTGGAACTCAGAAACCTTGGACGTTCGTGATTTGTTCGGCTACAAGCTTCCGTGTTGCCTGAAATGGCATGGACGAAAGCCAAGGGGCTATTGCACCATCTGCCAACGGTGGAGAGAAAAGCCCGTGTGGTTTGGAACAGGGTGGTCCCCTTTCACACCACAGCTTCGACCCAACCGATTTGGTTGCGTGGCGATTTCTGAGAAGAATGTGTGGTTCTCTGCGCCCCTTCATGGCAATGAGATAATAAGGCGGTTTGTGTGGTTGCTCTCTCTGGTGTTCTAACCCGGCGCTCTGTTCGTCAAGTTGAAGCCTTTCTGGACGCTATGTGGGGGACTATTGATTTTGCCTGCGGCGGCTCCACTTTACAGCGGGCCGGCCACGTTTGCGCCGCTGAAAAATATTCGTTAGCCTGTGAATAGGCATCCAGATGTTCCGGAATCTTTAAAGGACCAGTGTGCAGCCAATCAAGGGGCCATGGCTCAAGTTATCATTTCCATGTTTGACTACAATGAAAACCGGATTCAGCTCTTCCGAGCCAAGGAAGTAGTTATTGAAAGGAGACGACGCATGGAGTAAATAAGTTTCAGAAGAATAGTTCCTGCCTCGACCAACTTTGCAATGCCAGAGCTCCTCATTCTTCGTCTCGAATGAAAAATCAAAGGCTTTTGGTTTGGAACAATCCTAGTGCAAACCTTTATGCATGTTCCACACTCCAGCAGACAGTAGCAGACAACGCTAGACACGGGTTGCGGGCTGTTATCCGCCAAAGATAACTTTAGAACCACTCATTCTTACGAACTGTTTTCCCCTTCCGATCTCCGCGACTTTAGAACGTTCAAATCCAGGGCACTACTGCCGTTTGTAGTAAGGGGGCCATGGTGATTGAGCTGATCCTGGTCCGCTTTAGCACCATGGCTAAAAGAAAGCCGGCGAACTCTGTGCTGCGTGGCAGCACAAAGAGAATCTTGAACCCCAATTTCCAAGTGATAGGTTTCGTACAAAAATCCGGCGGTTCCCCAGGTCCAAGGGTGCCAAACACGCAACGTCTAACAAATATCCTGCGAGACCTGCGTGGTTGACATCAGATACACACCGCAATCGAATTGCTTGTGGTAATTACCGGATGTACCGTTTATAATTTTGCTTTGCACTTTATAAATCCCCAGAAGAATAATGTCAAACCAACCCTCAGGGAGGACAATTGTGCAACCGTCTGCAACCAAATCCCAGCGAAGGGATTGATGTAGATGTAACAAAACACCTTTCCTTCATCCTCATCAAGGGTTAAACTGATATCTTAAACAGACAGATTTTGATACCAACTCTATCAGTGCCACAGTCGGCGGATCATCCTTTGGAACTTCCATATCTTCATCGACCCTAAAATACCGATATGGTTATTTGCCCTCTTAAACCCCAACCAGCCTCGCTACTCAAGCTAACCATCAATCCCGGCGCGTAGAAAATGGAAGAAGATACCATGGCTACCACAGCGGATCGTACCTACTACCGAATGACGAGGCGGAACAGGAGCGGCTGGATCTCCATCACCACATATTCCGTCTGACACTCGGCGGGCGACTCTTCCGCGCCCCCATCACCGCGCATCCCGAAAGGGTGTTAGATTTTGGGACGGCAACGGGGATTTGGGCCATTGATTTTGCCGACGAATTCCAATCCACCACGGTGATCGGGAACGACTTGAGTCCCATTCAACCGTCCTGGATCCCTCCCAACTGCAAGTTTTATGTCGACGATGTCGAGAGCGAGTGGGTTTATCTTCCCGAGGAAGCGTTTGAT